TGAAAAGAACTGGGAGACAAATGAAAAGAAGTGGGAGACAAATGAAAGGAAGTGGGAGACAAGCCAGCCGCGAACCCGACCACAAGCACCGAGCTTGGGAGACAAATGAAAAGAAGTGGGAGACAAATAAAAGGAAGTGGGAGACAAGGCGGCCGGGAACCCGACCAGACCATCCAGCACCAAGGCGACCGTTCTTTAAAGCATTGAGAACCCCTAACAGTAAACTGTTTGGGGAAAAACAGAGATGTTCAATCGGTCTTGACATGTCTTGACATGTCTTGACAATTTTCTTTGAAGTATCGATCGATATTGGGAACATGATGGAATTTAAAAACCAGAGTTCAAGCCTTGTCCTCCACTCTGACATCAGAGTGCTTCCCACAATCTGATTTGATCGTCCTCCCAAAAAAATTGCAATAAGAGTGACCACATATGCCTCTGACGCCTCGATAATTCTGAAACTTTCACCTGGCGCCACCTTCAGAGTGGCCTCTCAAACCTGAATCACGATAGAAAAAACCTCACTTTCCTACCCAACAAACCGGAATGAATCAAACAATACCAAATACACAGCTTACATGGTCAATATAAAAAGTAATCAGCAAATAAAAACAGCTATAAAAACCCTTCTCACCTGGCTCTTCCCCAAGCAGCTGTGCTCCCATCCACCCATTCCGCCGTCCATCACCGCGAGCTGGCCTCCAACTCCGTCTGCCGGGCGACGCGCGCCTCAGCCTTCTCCACCTCACTGCCACGAGCAGCCACCGGGGTGGGGGGGCTTGAAGCCCAAACAGAAAAAAACACCAAACCATCCAACTTCATGTTCAAGCAAGCCCGCCCTCCCTTTAAGCACGGTCGACTTCTTTTGCTGGTTGGAGTGCTGACTTCATCTGTCAGCTGTGTCTTGCATTGACAGTTCGCATCCACCATCCTCGACACCAATCTCTGTACTGGTGTGCGTGGGTGGGAAGAAAAAGAGTTCGTTTCCTGTTTGTCAAGGCTTTTGCCTTTCCCTAACATTCAACTTCACCTTCAAGCAAGCCCACCCTCTCTGCATTGAGCTCATTTTGCTGGTTGGGCTGACTTCATCTGTCAGAAGTGTCTAGTCTTGCATTGACAACTCGCATCCACCATTCTGATTGGCTCTGCTGCGAGCTCTGAGGGCTCTCATACATTTGACGTACCTCCACTGATTAATATGAAGGTGTGCCTGCAGGATGACCTCATCCACATGCCGTGCGCCAATTCCATGGCCACTTCCAAATCAGCTCCATCTGCGCCAGCTTTGCAAACTTCAATGCCAGTAAGAGTTGGGCTCTTCTTTGGATGCGACTCCACATCAGCGTCCATTGTTGGCTGCCACTTAGTGTGGTCTTCTGCGTGTCTTTGTTTGCTGGTTCAGTCTGCGGGGCGTCTTCCGCATACGTTACATGACCGACGAACGCCATTGGCCTTAAGAAGGCCAACTCTTGAATCGCCATTTGGAGGTCAACAAGATGAAGGCCACGTTGCGACCAGCTCTCTCATATGCTTGGGGAGTCGTGTGGACGCTCAGCAAAGTGGAGTGGAGCTCAATGTTGCCATTCGCTGGAAGGACATTCGCCAAAAAACAACCTACCATGGCGAGACGAGACCCCCCAATAGCTTGTCTTCTGCGACCTGGGCCAAGCTCTCGAAAGCGAAGATGGTAGAGGGTTAGTGCAAAGTGAGGAAATCGCCTGTCTTGGGATTCTCAGCAAGGAGCAAGAAGAAGTGGCGCTGCACACATAAGGTTTATAGCCCGTTGAGGGCCTGCCATTACCGTCAAGATGTTTAGCCGCTTTGCGACCTGAAAGTCCAAAGTCAATGGGGACAGTGGATCCGAAGACGACGGTGATGATGATGATGACGACGACGATGATGATGATGATGACGGGGCTTCTGATCTGGTCATGCTGGGATGCCCTCAGAGGTCAAGACCGAATCCGCCAAGAACCCTCGGCCCATTGCCCACCGATCCACTCACCACACTGCCCATTGGACGTCCTCCGTGTACTCCGTCGGCAGGCTGTCCCATGGCCATGAAGCGCCGGACCGTCTGATCTGTTCCAACTTCTCCGCCCTCACCTTCTCATCGGCCTGGCAAATCAGGCCCCATGCACGTGGCCATTGGAAGACCAACTTCTCCATGACCTGCTCGTATAGCAGAAGCGCTGCTGGTGTAGCTACGCCTACGCAAACGCAAGCTGTTTTCCAAATGGCACCGTCCAGATATGGGGGCTGCTTCAACGCCCACACTCTGTGTTGCAAAGCTGCCAGCTGGTGCTGTCGCCTAGTTGGCAATAGCCATCTAGGCGTACGGCGAGCACTGTGCGGGTCAGGGCCTGACAGGGAACAGAAACAACAAAAGATGTCATCGCCCCAAACAACATCCCCTCAGTCCAATGCCTCTCCAGGAGCCAGCCAAAAGATTCCACAGGAATGGCCAGCAGCCAGCTAGCAATTCCCCGAGGTCGCCCGGGTCCAGCAGGCGCAAAGCGTAGTAGCGCTCGCACAGCGGCCGCACACCGTGGGGCGCCATGTGTAGATCAAATACGTGAACTGGTCGCACCGGCTGCCGGCACATGGGCAGCACAAGTCCGTGTTGCTCGATGGTCGCCAGGTGGTGCTCCGCTGTGCGAGTGAGGGTGTCCACACCCGCGTCGAGCAGGCGCAACAGTGGCGCAGTTCTTCTCCTCCTTCTTCTTCTTCTTCTTCTTCTTCTTGTCTTCTTCTTCTTGTCTTCTTCTGATTCTTGGAGGTGTACCCATCACAGCAATGTATCTCTGCGCCCATCCACGCAGCTTCAATGCTTCTGGCGTCTTTGTCTCCAAGTCGCCCGTCTGATCAATTAAGTTCACCATCTTCAGCTGTTGACCCTGTGCTTGCAGAGCTTCCACTGCCTTCAACAAGTGGTCCTCCGCTGCTCCCTCAGAGGCCGTTGGACGTTGAAGGACTTCATGGGTCTATGTCACTAAACTTCTCTGGATGCCCCCCCCCCCACCCACCTGTACCGCTTGTGCGGCAGAAAGGTTATCACCGAAAGGAAGGACCGCTGCTCCCACTGCTTGGGGAGAATCCCAGCCGCCAAGAGCCTCAGGTCATTCAGAGGGTCCCCGGCCACATTGACAAAAGGCTCCCCAAACATCGGCATGAACGTCGAGGATCGATAGCAGGTCCGGGATTGTATGCACCGAAGTCGCCACATCTATGTGTAGCAACACCATCGCAGCAGGCGAAACCAGGCTTCAACAAAAGAAAGTCACATGAGACCTCCTTTGAACCTCGTTTCAGGTTCGAGAACCCTCCCTCCACCCTGGTGAGAGTGCATTTCCGATCTAAATCCATGTGCCGAGCTCCTGTTCATCAAGGCTTTTGCCTTTCTCAGAAACGGAAAAGCATAGCAACAATGGAAGAACCATGAAAAACCTGACTCAGGTCTCGAGTTTCTGGATTTCACTTCATGGGTTGGTCTCATCTGGGAATTGTAAATGAGGGTTGAGCCACAAACTCATTTCACCTAAACCTTGATCTGTGCAAATATAGAAGTCTCTGCCTGTCCCTATGGCCTCATAGACTCAAGACTCAAAGACAATCAAAGTCTTTACCGAACCCACAACCCACTGTTCTATGTTGGCTTGAGAGTGGAAGCTTTGGCATGATTATGACATTGTGCAGCACATGCTTCTTGGACGAGTTCTCAAGTGTGTTTCATAGTTTCATGTAACAACTCCAAGCTGGAAATGAGTGATTCCACAGCGCCTCAGCCCCCAGTTGTGCCGCAGTGGCCAGCAGTTGCCTCTCCGACAGGGCTCTTTCAAGAGGCCCTTTCGCATTGCCTTTATGTACATGTGTAAGTTTATTGCGTGCTCTTAGAACGATCCAGAAAACCCTAAGCACTGTGCTCGCTTTTGGTAGGACAAGTCTACACTTGGTATGGTTGGTACTAGAAATTCGATGAATTTCGCCAGATTGAATCATCCGGATCGTCCGCGTATCATATCCGCATCTCATAATGTATAGAGAGACAGCTGCCTGGAAGGACGCTTGGTTGCTCCAGGCCCTTTTTATTACCAGTATCGGTCAAACTCATAGCCCAAGAACTTCTTACTAGAGCTTTGAGTGAAAAAAACTGAAAAAATACTCTTTCAAAACCAATCTCAAGAAGGAACCTCCAGGCATGCCATCCTCCAGACATCCTGAAGAGGACTCCCCTTTCGGCACTCGGTGCCATCCCGGAAAGCAGGCAACGGAGAGCCTCCGGTCTTCGGCGGCCAACTTCTCTTCGGCCGTGAGGTCCTCCACCCTCCGCAAGAGCTGCTCACTCTGCGAGACGATGACCTCACTCGGTGCGTTCGGGTGGAGGACCAGGAGATGGCACGCTTCGCTACAATCTGGAGGGGCTCCGTTCGTAGTAAGGCCAGGAGCCCCTAATAGCATGAAGCCATAGGACCACAGGCGTCTTGAAAAAATGGACCGCGCACTTTTCTTTTAAAAACAAGAGAACTCACCTGTAATCATCATATTCATCTACGTTGAAACCACTTCATTCATGGACCTAGGTTGCAGAAACTATCAGCTGTCTGAATGTCCCTCTGTTTTTCTACTGTTTTATGCTCTGTTCAGACGACCCCGAACCTCCCGCATCAGATCCTCCTCACTTCGAAGGTCCACTGTACCCTGCAGGGAGGACGTTTACAAAACAAGTCGCTTTGCACAAACCAAGTCCTTTGCATCCACTCTATTGCCACCTGGTCATAAAGGGAGATTGGTGCAGTCCAATCTATTGCAATCGAATAGATCGGGACGCGTCTATCCAACCCCCACATTTTGCCTTGTGCAAGGCGGCTATGTCAGCCTCGACCTGTGCCTAAGCATTCACGGGCATAGACTGCAGTAGAGCCGAGTAGACTGTAGACTGTAGACCAGTGGTCTGAGCTCGATCATCTCGGCTTCTTGCAATCCGCTTTTCCAGCTGCTCATTCACCGACTCCAAGGCCTTCGCGAAGGCGTCTCAAAGCACAGACCAAGGCGGAAGGACCGTCGGACCGTCGGCGTGGAAACAGATCACAGATCTCCGCCTTCACTCTCTGTGAGGCCGATTCTTGCGCATCCTTCAGCACCTCCCAGACGTATAAAAAATGGCTCCAAAGTCTCACAGGTCAGGTCAGGTCTATTGTGTGGGAGGGGGTCTTCAGTGCCGTGAAGTCGGTCCCGGCCGCCACATGTTCAATCTAGAGCCTCCAACTCGTGCTTGGCCATCGAGAGGTCCGTCCCGCTGGACAAAGCCTGCGTTCGAAAACATCGACAGGAGCGAGGCTGTTTGCAGATGTGTTCAATGAAAGATGTCTCCTGCGAGCAGGTGTTGGATTCTGACATCTTCTGATCAAGGCCCATTGGATTCGTCACCGAATGGCCATGTCTGACAGTCACCGAAAGGCCATTCGTCAAACAGCCGAACTGTGCAAATGCTCCAAACAGTCTGAAAGATAGCTCAGCTCCACCAGAGCATCACCGGAGCTCGAGCTCCCGACATCCGCCAGAGCCAAGCGCAGCTGTCGTGCTTCCTTGTCCACCGACCTCAACTGAAGAAGCGGGCGCTCGTCCCGAATCGGGTCATCCGAGCGGCGAATTGTGCCACCAATACTCCTACAAGAGGCTTCTAAATTCGACAAAGGAATCATTTGCAAAAGCATAGCGGAATTCACCGAACCGTCTTCTTCCACCGGGCGGGTTTCAACTGAAATGACATGAAGCCAGTGACGCCATCCATGTGGCGCCAGAAAAGGCCACCACACCCTGAATCTTCGGCTCTAAGGCGTCTGCACTAAGGCCTCACGGTACCTTGGCAACAAAGAAATCTATCCCAAAATCCACCCCACGGTACCTATTCCATTCTCATCCAGGGCCCGTTGTGGATGGGTAATGGGATAGACCCAACTCTAAAATAGTGGATGATGATTAGGTTGCAGGCCGACATCTCTAAACTAGTCATGTTCTTGTTTACCGACCATGAACCAACAGGTATTTTGTTCGGACAGACCCAACCTATGCCAGGAAACCATGCAACGTCCAAAACGACCCAAGCGCGCTCTACTGGGACGTGCACGATTTGGTTTCTTTCTCACATCGCTGGACGTCCTCAACGGACACCATACTTTCTAAACCTTGGACAAGAGAAAGACTTCAGCACACAAGTTACAGTTGAGCAGAATTGAGAAAGTGATTCTTTATGAGTCTGTCTTTCTCAGTGTCAAACGCCTTTGAGCCGCGTCTGCAGCGGCCTGGCAGGAAAACACTGGGCTTCTTGCATTGGTAGAGGTTGTGCCGCGCTATTGACCCACTGAGGAAAGAAAAGGTCATTATAGCAAGATCCAGTCATGAAGCCCGTTATGTGACTACCTTGTGCTTGAATCTGTCCCCACTCCCACCAAGATTGGAGCAATTCCCCAATTGCAAAAAACAAACAAGAAGTCCATGACCAAGCCTGGGCAGCTGCCAACGCTTGTCTCTGCTTCTCCAAGCGTGCTTCCTGCCAGGATCTCACATTCTCAGGTTGCGATCAAAACTTCTTCCTCCCATGGCCTCAAAAAATGAACATGAAAAAAGTTGAAAGAGAAAGAGATAAAAACATTGTTGTTCTTTTTTATTGTATTTTTTTTGAAATCTTGCCCGTGGCCCTGCCTCTGTACTTGATTAAGTACGTTAAGTAGGCGCCTACTTAATTAAGTAAGGGTAAGGGAGTAAGCTACTACATATCGACGCAGGCTCAGGCTGCTTCAAGGAAGCTCCCCCAAACGCTGGCACTGATGATTTGGTTCCTAGATGTTTAGGGAAACTTAACTCACGAGGAGTCTCGCGACGCTGCAAATACAACAAAAATGGAACAGAACCTGAAACCAAGCGTCTTGTCTTCAGATCCTTACTTACGCCGGACATCGCTTGCGAGCCCTCGCAGCGTCCTCTTCATGAAGCTCCTTCGCTGCAACCTACGATGTGCCCAAGCGGATCTTGCGAAATCATCCAGAAGAAAAACCATCGTTTCCGTTCGTCAAACAGGAAATCCTCGGGGTAACATTTCCTCTTCATCAAGAACCTTAAATCTCTTTATTCAGGATCCCTTGAGATTTATTCAGGATCCCTTGCGCGATCAAGGCGGAACAGTGCACGGCATATCCTACCAGTTCCTTTCCCACGTCTCCCCAAAGCCACTATCTGTTGAAAACCCCAAAAAATGCATCAAGTTCTTCCCCAAGTTCTTCCCCAACATCTCCATCTTCCGCCTCGTTCCTCCTCGTTCCGCCTCGTTCCGCCTCGTTCCGCCTCTCCGCCCGGGGCTCCCCGGCGTTCGCTTCCTCGGCCGCTTGGGCCGCGGAGCGGCGTGCTTCGGCCAGCTGGGCCTCCTGCTGCGCCAAGCCTCGGTTCGTCGCTTCTTTCACGAGGTTGGTCTGGACTAAGGGACATTCCATGAAATTCAAAAAGGTACGCGAGGTCTCAGGTTCAGAATCTCTCAGTCTGTGTTCAGAATCTCTCAGATTTCATCAGATGTCCAAAGACAAATCAAGAAACCTTGTGTATTGTAGGTAGAGTTTCTTGGCTGAGCGAACCAACCAGATTCGATCTCGGCTCTCTGTTGCTTCAAGGTCTCCAGCTTTGCCTGGATGACCAGCTGCGCACTGGTCGTGTTGCTTTTCCCAAAGATTTGGGGGTTGGAGAGGACATGATGCATCTCTGCATCACCACCTGGGATACGCCAAATCTTGCCAACATCAGACTGTTCTGTGTGTGTGTGTCTACGCGTCATAACTTGCGTTCATCACTAGATCCCTGCCACAGCCTCCAAGTCATGGTTTCTTTCCTCCGCATCCTGGCCATGCCGGGCAACTCTGAACCATGGCAGCAAACGATTGCAGGAGATCGAGCCTCGTATGCTTGAATAGTGGTCTTTGCTTCGCTGTCTCCGCTCCAATCCGTGGTCTCCACTCAGCCGAACAACTCCAATCCCAATTGAACAAAGACTTCGTGATCCATAACTGCTATATGGAGACGTGTAGAACAGAAACCCGTAGACCGACCCCCGTCGTTCACGACCCCGTGGGTTCGGTTCGGTTTGAAAACTGATTCGTCTACCTAGCCCAGCCAGGGCCGAGAAAGGGGTAAGAAAATACACACCATGTCCATACAAGTACTTGCACTCAATACTCCACAGTATATAATTGTTTGGATGTCTTCCAAAAAACGATTACTCCTCTCAGGATCTACAAGTACTCCAGACTCGACAGTAGATTTGATCGAAACAGTCCCAACATCCTGCACAGCACCACCGCGGCTGAGGCGATCTCGCTCACCTGAAAGGGCGGGTCGACGCCATTTTGGGCATCTCTGATCCGTAGATGTTGAACTTAGCCATTTTGGCGAAGAGCACCCACGAAAAAGAATCGTGATGTGAGGGTTCCTGAATTTTGTGAGACTATTCCTTCATTTGCCAGTAGTGTTGGGTGGACTTGGGCTAACTAGTTTCTGGTCATACCCTTCTGAGCATCCTAAATACGTCTCTTGAAACAACATCGTGTTTAACTAGTGCTGCAAAGGCTTCTTGTTTCACCAAATCGCAGTCAACTGTACACGATCAAATCGGGTCCTGTTGGCCCAATCTGCGACAGAAAGGACTTGGCTATACAATGGGAACACCAACACGAGGTGCTCCCGTCTTCATCACCAAAGTAAATGGCCAAGCTGGTTAGTTCAGGCCGAGTGGAAGAAGGCTGCAAATGGATGTTGAATCAATTGCGCAACAACTACAGCACAGCTGATCGATTCCTGCGAATGTGAAAAGGCGAGCTGAGATTTGTGTCTAAACATACAGGGCTGGTATCTGATGATCTCACCTCAGAAACAGTATGAGTCACTGCCTCAGAATCTACGTGAGAATGCCTATGGACCTATATATATATATAGTAAATATATTAAAAGGTTCTCGAGTAACAAACAACAAGTGACACGGCACGCCACCTCCGGTAGGAACGCGTCGAAGCCGTCCGGAGCAGCTTTGACATACGCCGCAGAAGTTGAGATCTCTGCTCACCTGCCAGGTGTCACCGTGTGGGATCCAGCATCATGCTGTACTGTGAAGACACGTCCCCTGAAGTCCATATCAGGTGGTCAATCAACGGCACACAAACACCAATCATACCTCCACAAGGATGCAGCTTGCTTTCCGTTCACTTTACCAGACTCTAGTGAGCGATGCTGAGCACTTCTAAGAGCTTTGATTGGTCATAGTCGCGCCATACCCTACACCCTTTTAGCAACACTTAAGACTCCAAATCCTAATAGGTGAACACGATCGAATATCAATGGCCAAAAGCGCCTGCACGAGGCCAGACTGTCACATGTTGGACTGCCCAAGCTAAGCTGATCAACCCCTCTTAATGGGGTTTCACGTGTGGAATGACGGACCGAACGCTCGCCTTCAATGTCCGCGTCTCCAACGTGTCTTTCTGGTGGGAGAGTGTTGTCATGTGACTTCACGATGGTCTCCTCAAGTGCTGAATCAAACTAATGATGGTTCAAGCTGAATTCCGTTCTATGCCAAGTGATTGACCCATTTTTAACAATGCACTTCTCGTGGTGAAACACTAGTGGAATTCACGATCTCTTCAGCAAGCTTCTTGCGGAGTGGTTTGGAAAGAAGCGCATGCAATGCAGCTTAGGCACACCAGCCGCGTGAGCTGCTTTGATCTGGATCGTCAGAACGGAGGACCCATGTGTTGGTTGGACAGTGTGCAAGGCTACTTGGTGCAGGAAGTAGACATCTCCTTCGGCATACTCATTAGAATACCTGAGGAGGTTCTGAAGCATAAAATGAATCACCAGTGCCTTCATAATGATCTTCATCTTTGTACCTAAAGCCTAAAACTGTGATCCAAGCTGCAGAATGTCCAGCTTGCCAGGAACTGCCACCATCTCCCCTGTCAATTCAGGATCCTGTGTCCTGTTCAGCATATAGTGCTGCTCCTTGTCACCGGTCACTCCCCAAAGATGATGCAAATACGAGCCCTTCAAATTGCAGCTCCAGAAAGAGGCTCGGTGATTGTGTATCACGGTCTCGTGTGCGTCCTCTGAGCCAACTGTCCGTCCGTCTGAAGTCATGGGTTTCTGACGGTGTTTCAAAAGTAACACTTCACGGTTGAGTTGATGGGACCATCCTCGCACATAACTTGGTATCGACAATGTCTGAATTCAGGTCAACCTGTGAGTGACAGAGATTCAATGAGATTCCACGCATCGTTTTTCGTAGTTGCCAGGGAAAACACAATCAACAATCCTAACCCAAACGGTCCTCAAACAGATGAAGTCTCACTTCGATACCATCTCCTCTGTAGAGATGCAACCGCTTCATAACTCCTGCAACAGCACACATTACATTAGTAATCATGACTCAGTTATATACTGGTTATTACAACTCCTGTACGAAACTTCAATCTTTTTGACTCGACAGTTTACCAAAGCTGCCAAACTTAAAAAGATAGTCATACAGACTTCCCTGACACTGAACATCGTCAAGCCACACTCAAGGATGCACAGCACTTCCTTTGAACATCAGACCATGAAAATGTTGAGCCGCCTGGCACTTCGTCCATCTTGAAGGACTCACATGATTGAAGCCAAGATTTGCTGAGCATCCACACTCCTCTTTGCTGAGCATTGGAGAGAAGAATGATGGAAAAATTGGTCTCCAACCAAGGGACCTGAAAAAATAGAGAGAACACCCTGAAACTAAAATACCCCAAATCATGGTGAATACGATCCCTTTACCTCCAAAAGAATCCATTCCAACTTCCAAGACGCTGATGCTCTTTTTGATGGCATCGACGTTCGGGCGATCATCCGCTTGGACTTGCTTGCCAGATCTCTCTCGGACCATTTGGTCAAACTTTTTGATCTCGTCTATCATGATTCTCAACGTCTGTTCGCCGTCCTGATGCCTCCGATAGCTTTCGGTGGCCACCACCTCAAGGCCTCCGGTGCTTCGGACTTCAAATCGCTGCCGGCCATCTCGATGTAACTGGTTCTCAATCAGATGCTCCAAGGAGTACCTGGCAGTTGCGAGGTCTTCGGTGAAGACCGAACTTGAGAGAGCAGAGGGGTCAACGAAAGGTAGAAGGCTAGGCCGGCACCCCCCAAAACGCCCAAGGCCGCCCACGTTCCTGTGACCCGGTGCGAGAAGCGAGATGCGAGCACCCTCGGGCCTCCCCCTCTATGAAGAATCCTTCCTTACAGGACATAACTCTGGGCAAATCCCCAATTCCTGGTGAGAAATACAGTGCTAAAGCTTCCTGGTGAGAACTCTGTTGGCCCCCTCTTCTTGCACTGAAAGCTGGGATGAAATGTATTTCGAGCTATTGCGACGGGGCACATTGATGGGATCATTGATGGGATCATTGGAGTGTCTGGCGATGGTTGTCATCAGTGATACCCTGCTGCAGAGGTCAAGACCTACCGAGTTGGGAAAAAGGAACTTAAATAAAGGACTACAGTAGAGGGAACACGACGATCTGTACGCACTGTCACGATGCAAGCCTACCTGAGGTCAAGCCTTTCGGGAACACATCACAGTAGAGGGCTGTACGCGACGATCTGGCGCACTCATCCGAAAGGCTTTTCAAGTACTGGAGGACGTCTACCATTGGTCGAGAACAGAATTCTCCTGCTCGGAGGAATTTGGTCAGCTTCTTCGATACATCCTTTTCGAGATCCCGCACGAACTGCCTCAGGTGCGAAGGCTATACCAGCAAAAGACATGATGGCAATGCAAAACAACGGCAACACAGACTGAAGCCTATTGGTTGTGTGTTAAAATCATTGATTGGTGTGAAATGAAGAAGCCCACAACAATCAAGTCCATCAGGTCCATCAGCTCCTGGCCTTCTCAGGTTGCGTCTCTCGCCCTGTGACGATCTCCGAGAACGTTCTCGCAAATACTTCGTCCGGGTGGGACGACCCTCTGTGGCTTTGTAGGAAGGCTCCTGTCGAGGAGAGCTGATCTTCTCCCCATGAGGTGATTGTTTGATTGCATGAAGAGACAAAAAGAGCAACTGCTGCAGGTGTAAATCAATGTTGGCATTCGGCTTGATATGTGTGCTCTTGAGGCTTCTTGATATGTATTCAAGAAAAGAAAGAATCCGCGGAAGTATACATCCCTGCTGCACAACACTGTCATCAACCCAATGTCGATTCTGCACAAATCTGCCGGGCCTTCGTCCCAAAGCGAGGAATCACCTTCATGTTTCTGAGCTGTGTTGTATCAATTGGAGGCAGTTCAATAAACTGTTGCAAGCCGCGCCTCTGTGGCCTGCCCTGTTTCAAACTGATGCTGTCGGATCATGATGGCCAACGTCTCTAGTTGAAACTTTTAGCTTGGGCCAAACTGATATGTGTCGGTATCAGGCACGAGCATGTGAAGGCCTACTGGTGCCGACTGCTACTGGGACGTGACTGCAACCCACGGAAGCTCCGTGCTCTCTGGGGCATCTGCTTGTTAGCGATGCGACCTTTTGCTGGAGCCTGCGTGTTTGTCAGCCAAGGAAGCTGCTTCTGATCATTGAGAAAGTGCCGAGTCTCAAACGAATTAACGACTATAATGACAACTAATTCTATATAGACGGACTGCAAGTTAGAATGGGTGTCCCATATGTGCTTATGTTGTTTCTACACAGATAGAAAGATTAGGAAAAAGCCCACAGAAAGAATGCCGGCAAGACATCAAAAAAACCTCAGAGATAGAATGCCAGTACAAAGCTAAGCATCAAACCTCAGGACACCCATTCTAACTCAAATATGTGCTTCGGAATGGAAGTTCATCAATACTTGTCTTTGTTGTTGAAGAACCCGTATAGCTATCTATAGCTTGAACCAGTTTGCAGCTCCAAGACTCTGCCTTTCAACCTCTGCTCGCAGCTCCCCGCGCTCACGTTCACTCTGGGCCTGAGTGCACCGTGTCCGAAGACGTCACCGGACCAAAAAGGACCAACGAAATGTGACGAAAACTCCTCAACTTCGCACTGTTGTCCAAAGGCAATTCTGACACCTCCTTTTTCATCCCCCATAAAAAAAGACCATCAACTACCTTCCGTTCTATCTGCCAGACCAGAAAGCGCCAGACCTGATCCGTCCACGTCCACTCGTCCACCGACCCCGACTGGGCGCCACCCGCGATGTTCTCCCGCTGCGACAGCACCTTACGCCGCCACTCCACCAGTTCTGCCTTGGACAGCTCCACCCGGCAGCGGTCCCGTAAAGGAGCCCGTTTGGTCAGGTCTCTCCAATTGGTCCGCGTTGGTCATCACATTCTTCAAACAGCGCAAAACAGAATTCACCATTTGGGAGGAAGATCTTGCTTTTGGGGACAAGACGATCAATGCTGCAATGCTTACAAAGACCAGAAAGGCTCCGCAACAAGAAAAGCCACTTGGAAAGACCACGGACCCTGCATGGGCATGCATAGGCTTGTTTTCGGAGCCTTCAATCTAAATCTCCAAATACGCAATTTGGTGGGTACTAAGTCTCACAGCACTAACACCCATATACAAAAATCGGAAATCCTACACATTCATCTGATTGCGCATCAAAAGAATACACAAATCATGGGATTCTTTGAAAGGAAAGCTTCGGCCTCTACTCACACACAGCAAGATCGACAAACCCCGTCACCATGTTGCAAGCGCCTCCAAAGATGGGCTTACCGGCGAGGACGAGGAGTCGTCGGCCTCAAAAAGACACTGAACCAGGGTGGAAGAAAAAAGGAAAACCCTCCACCTGTAGTCTCTTCCTGCAAACACAATCGCTACTAGGTTGGAGGCCATCGCTAGACTTCACCTCATCCAATCTCCTGCTACATCTGCTCTGTGGCCAACCCTCTCGGGGCATCCGGGCTGGTGACCGTGGTGCCTCCGCATCGGCGCCTCAGCGACCAAAAGGACACCGCGAACAGGAAGACGGTTTGGACACGGTTTGGAGGTCCCTGTACGAGAACGAAGGGTTCCGTCCTCTGAAAAAGGGGACCAAACGCCCAATGTCCAAGGAGAAAACGCCTTTTTCATCATCCAAAAAGGCCACCGAACTTGAAATGGAACTCTTGGCAATTGACCCACAGGTACCGGTGCCCTAGCTGTGACGCGAACTCTTCGGCCAGGACAGGCTCATCGAGACTGTGGATGCATGTTCCAGTGGAAGCATGCAACCAGGGTTTCTTGACCTGACTCAACTCAGTGTTCTGTTTTTTTCTGACTGAAGGCGCTTGTCTGTGGAAGTTAAATTCTTCCGCGAAGAGAATCAACAGGATCCATCGAGCTTCTGTGAAGCTTTTGGCTGACTATGAACATGGAAGGAACAGCTTGGCCAAGGACTTGTGTGTGTGGTGCCCTGGCCAACCGTCAAGACTGTCAGCCGTACAGAGTTCCGCCCTCAGCGGTACTTCACGAAGCCAATCTCCTCAGCCTTCTCACGGAACTCCTTCCGCCCGCACTCCAAAATGCAACAAAGTTATGTCAGGGGCTGTCTTCTCTAAAGAACTACACATCTTGCGAACACCGGTTATTGTCCGCGTAGATTTACCCAAACAATCACCAAGCACTCATAAGGACTCCCACCTCATCCCACCCCTATCATCCTCAGTCCACCATCCTCTATCGTTTTCGCCCTTCTCTCCTGGCGCTTCATCATGATACCATACTTCCGGATCAGCGCCATGCCACCCGGCCGCCCGGACACGCGCGAGGAGCGTAGGCCCTTGCTGCCCGGCAGGCCTCGCACCGGCGCGGAGAAGGGATGCTTCTGCGGCTGCGCGCCGTGGCCACCACGAGGGCCACCACCGGTGCCGCCCACACCGCCCAGCAAGGCGCTATGACCAGCCGTGAAGAAGACTTGGATGGGCAAGTCACCTCCAGCGAGAAGAATTGAGAGTGCCTTCTGAGAAGGAAAGCATGAAAAGAAGGAGAATTCCATGGTGAAATTACGAGAGAATCGTTCAATTTGCATGCTGTTTGAAAGCAAGATCTTGCTTGATATTCAACGACTCCGAGACTGCCCCCGGATCTTCCCCGGCCTTTGTAGCACTCCAAGGTGTCCCAATCCTTAAGCTGTCGGCTGTTGTAGATCAGCCGCATGTGCTCCGGCTCGATGTTGCACGCCATGTGCGCCATCTTCTTCACGTCACGGACCTTTGCATCTTTCTCCAACTCCAACTGGAAATTCTTCAAGCCGGCCACCTGTCATTTTCTGCCAACAAGCTCTCTAAAAACCAAAAAGAACTAAGTCAGTTCTGGCCGAAGCAAAAAAAAGTGGTGGATCGTGGGTCGAATCTGATCGAACACCTCCTCTATCCCCGAAAGCCGTGAAGAAAAGACGGGCGGACGGAGGCACGACGGCTCCTCACAAACGGATGACTAGGCGACTGGGCTCCTCAGTCAGTCATTGCACTCCTCCCCTCATTCAAATATGGAGGACTCTTCAAAACAAAAAACGTATTTGACGTTCGTTCGTCCCCCCAAAGAAAAGAACAAGACGGGAGGCTCTGGCGCTTGGTTCAGCTTATTTTAAGGACACATATGCTACACTGGCTACGCTCCAAGAGCAACAAACTACAGAGCAAACTCGGTCTTCCCCCCATGGTGGTGAAGTCTATACTTTAAAGTTTTTAGCACGCTGCACACCTTGAATTCGACCATCATGGATTCCTTGGTCTCAGGCTCCTTCAAGGTCAAATCACTCATGGCCTCCACGAGAGTTGCTGCCATGGACCTCACAAAGGGACGAAAAGGTGCAGACAGGGAGAATTCTCAGACCTGTGACCTGCTGGTCTGGGGTCGTTCCGCTAGAATCAAAGCAACATGGGGTACCACAATGCTAGACCCCCTGACATGCTGTTCTTCATGGTTGTTGTCTGGGCTACTCATTCGCTTGTTCACTCTTAATTGGAAGGCAACCAACCCAGCAGCAGAAGCCAAGAATGACTGCTGCTACCTACCTGAGGCAGGCACTCACTGGCTACGGCTTCAGGCTTTCACTCTTTGAATTGAGCCCCTCAAGGGGTGTTTGAGCTTCAAGAGTCGCGGATACAACACATGCCATCCAGTTGTCCGTGGTGCTCCTTTGGACTTCCAACCTCTTCAAGACGGTCTTCTTGTCCGATTAGGGCTTCCCCCAAGTCGAATATGATGAAAGTTAGATGCCTCTCGGGCCTTGGGCTGGCTGTGGGCCCGAGAGGCTCAGTCGTGTTTTTCCCTTCCTTCGGGCCTTTTCATGGATTCCTAGATTTCATGGGAGGTTGACCAAGGTGATATGGCTGTGGGTCTTCAGAACAGGACAATGAACTAATGGTCGGTTGATCTACAGTAAATTCATGTAAATTCTGTCCTTGTTTATTGGCTTCTTTTTCAACCCACATCTCTGGAACCGCCAGAACTGCGACTGTTGCAGCCCTCCAAGGCAGCGGCTGGGAGGCCTTGGCGAAAAAGCAAGAGACTCCCTGCACTTCTCGCAGAAACACGTTGAAAGAACGGGTGATGCTTTGACTCCGCCAAAAAGAGGACAGCAAATCAACATATGTGGTTTGGGTTGCTTAGTTAGACTTGCTGTTCGGGCAACGAAGTCACCCCAGGCAGGGACGTGCCAATTGACTTCACATCATGTTCGGAAGCGATCCTGAAATTGCGTTCGGAAGCGACCCCCTCACCTCAGAACGGCCCTCTAGATTCAGGATCAATGAGGGTCATTGTGATTCCTGGTCTCTTCTTCAACAAGAAAACTTCAGTAAAAGGAAAAGTCAGTAGATAGACAAACCATGACAATCCCATGATAAGCAATGACACCCTCGGCCAGAAAAAAGAAAACAGCAACATTGCAAAACCACGGAGACAAAACAGGAAAAACATGGAAAAACAACACGCAACAAATCCAGTTTGCACCAAGAAAAAGGCCAACATCGCTCGTCACTCCTCCCCAGCCGAGGCCAAGCTCCTTCCCGTTCTGGGGCACGTCTCGTCTAAGTCCAGGGCGTCTCGGTCCCAGGGTCCACAGACTCTTCCATCGACCGGTGAAGACGGAGGAATGGGAATTGGGTTTGGCTGGAGAAGATGCTATTCCTGGGAAGATCTTTCATGGAAGTGCAGTTAGGAAGTGCAGTTGGGCAGTTGGACTCGGTGTGATTGTTGCCAATCGAGACGGGTCTGCAAGTTGTCTGTGGTCGTTCCAGGTCAGCAACACTGGTGAAAAGCTGCCTTTCGGACTTCCTGATGGCCAAAAGTAAGAATGCTGCTGCTAGATTGCATCTGCATCTTCTATTCTAGCTGTGTTCTGCAAGTAGTGGGTACTGGGTCGGCAAGCATGCTTGATGTTGTCCCAACGCTTACATCTGAGCCAAAAGCTGGTGAAGCAAAGCCGCCGAGCACCGAATCTGGTCGCTGCCGAGCACCGACACACAGAAACACAGCGATGATGTTTTCTCGTTGGGTGAGAGGCAATTGGACTATGTACACATCGAGGCCATCGAGACCAATCATTTGGACCTGTCACATTGGATTGCCCGTCCTGTAGGACCGTGAGACCGTGACCGTCCACAGCTTTATGTGGAGAATCCGTGGTCTATCGTTTTTGGATCGCTGCTCAGACAGGGTGCTGATGAGAGTCCTACCATCCACTCAGACGGGATCATGCGAATTTTGGTTCGTTCTTCAACTCATCTGCAACTGTTTTTGTTGGGGCCTCATAGCCAACAAATAATGTAGCGCTTGGGGTCAAGCCAGCATCCTGCAAAGTCCTTGGTGTCAGAACTGTGAGGATATAAGGCCAAACGGTGTGTGAGAAGAGAGAATTGTCGGCTCGGGGTTCAAGAAGATAGGAGACAGTCATCACTGAATAGGGTAAAAAGGTAAAACGGTGCAATCAAAGTTGGAAAAGGTGACGAAGAGCATCCCATTTTGATATGCGGAAGAACGAGTGAAAGTGCAGAAAATGCTTCACACCTCAGAGAAAAAGCACACTAGATGAATTAGGAAGTTGAAGAAACAGGTGGCCGGCTCAGTTTAAAGGAACTGACTGGGGTCCATCCATCACTGCCAAGACAATGGTGGGCTTTCCAAGCGAAAGTCCTGCTGAGCAAACATCAAACATCCATATACTAGGAACAAGAAGCTACCAGGGGCTTACTACTAGGGGCAAGAAGCTACTAGGGGCTCCTGGCATCGCTACTAGGAACAAGGACGCTCCTGGCCTTACTACTAGGAGCAAGAATGCTACTAGGAACAAGAAAATACTACAGTAGGGGCTCCTGGACACACGGAGGTGGAGACCCCCAACTGTTCTCCACCCTGCGAACCGCTTGGCTCGAAAAGCTATACAGATGGCAGGCGGTCTGGGGGACCGGCAGCTCTGCCTGGAGAAAGCGATACCGATGGAAAGATGAGCACGATCAAATGTGGGCCAGACTCCGAACAGGAGTCTGCACGTTTGGACAGTGCCAATTCGGAGCAACCGAAGAGAAATGAAAGAAGAGCTTCACCTTCTCGTGATTTCCTGACCACTTCGAGTTTCGGGCTCCGAAAAAGCTGTATCAACTCCTTCGGCCAAAGCGACGGACCAACGGACCAGCATTCCAACACGCGGACCATCCGGTACATCAATCAGGCTTGACACTTGACGTCAAAAACAATAACCTCCAGAGGGTGGCACGAACCGATGTGAACTCGCAGAGTCCACAGATCTCAAGACTTGTGCGAAACATCTCATGTCATTCAGTTTCTGCGAAACTCCAGGAATTCCACTGGGAGAATTTGGGAACAATATGTATGAAATCAAGTTTGGAATGGGATGGGCCCCAAGAGTTTGATCACGTTTCTCATTCCGTGGCGAGTCGGAGGGTGGAAACCCTTGTTGAACCCCCAAAAAACTTTATCATTTACAACTCTCCCTGTAGCTTCTCATCCATCACATTGCTCTCTCTGACCGGAATCGGCGCAGCGATCCGCCTCACGCAGCTGGCAGGGCCTCAGTCGAAGACACTGAACTTCTATGGATGAACTGAACTGATCTGAACTGTTGAAGCAGCGACATTACCAGGTTACCAGGAACAAAACAGGCATCCTGTTCTGGCATGGCAACCTTTGCCAAAGAGTCCTCACGGTGAGGGAAGTGTCAATATGACTTGATTTCAACCAGATCGGTCTGCAAAACTAGGGGCCCAATGAAATAACCCAACAAAAAGCTGCATGCATCTATACATGCACTGCCCCTTGCCCGAGTCTAGCCCTTCCACCAATACCAGGAAAATCAATCCCTCATCCCTCATAATTGCTTATTTCAGTCTGGATAGTCTTGTGTCAATGTTCCTTTCGGTTCTTTGTCGCAATGTATAAACTCTGGCATTTGTCGGCTGGGGAAACCTTGCAGCTCCGTGGGAGAGGTTTCAACCAAGGTTCAACAGGAACGATCTTGGATGGTCGGCTCGTCCACTGACTCTCCTGACGTTCCTTGTGTCTTTGAAATATCAAGCAGTTGATCAGGTCATGAGTCATCAGATTTCAAGATCAGTCGTTTCTTTGCAGCATGGGAAGCGGCAGCCCTCTCTTTTTGGCCTGTGCACCCTGGAAGCCTGGTGAGACCAAATGAAACTGCCGAGCTTTTCAAGGGCTGACCTCAATTGCAGTGCAAGTGCTGAGATGGTGGTTGTGGTGTTTCATCCAGTTTCATCATGAGATCCAATACTGCTTCCAACACATCCTAATCATCGATGCCAGGGTTCATCTGTTTGATCCCGCAAGTACGATGCAACATTGCAGATTCATTGCGTGGACGAAGCAACACCAATCTGCTGGAAAGTGTGGCAAATTTCATGTTGTCCACTCAGATTCAACAAGAAAAAAGACCCCTAGTCAAAGGAAACCGGAGTTGTGGCTTATTCATAGCCGGTGCGCAACATCCTTCCGTTACTCTTAAGCGGCTCATGTTCTGTCGAAGGCAAAAGCCATTCAAAACAATCCTCTTATCTCAAATCAGCCAAGTAAATGATGCCCACTTAAATATAATTCCAACTAATTATATAAGCAGCAATTCAATACTTGCAGGCATGGCACACATTGAACCCCAAAATGACAAACCAGGGGTTAGCCGGTTAGCCCTGGACGTCCTGATCCCTCCTGGTTGCCCTGGAACCGATTCTTGGAACCTTTCACTGGTTGTGATCACCCCGTGATGATAGGTTCAGTCCGTCTTTTCGCAGATTGCTGATGATCTTTTTTGGTTGTTGGGTGATTTGGGCGGCTTCGGAAAAAACCAACAGGTAACACCACCCTCTCAGCAGTCTCCGGTGTTCCAGCCTCATGGTTTTGGCCCCATGGTCAAACCACTTGCCCAAAGTATCACAGAACACCACCCTGCTGCTTCCACCCAATAGAATACAGTACACGCTGCGTCAAACATCAACAACAATTGAACATCCGCACTTCTAAACAGTTTAGCCCTCAGCCAGCCCTTTTCTCTGTCAACGACATGGCACATGTTCTGTGGCAGACTCATCCGGCACTTTTGCTCTGGCCTGGCAGCAAACATGTCTTGACGACCTGTCGTGATAGGATCTCTGGCTGCCTGCACTCACACTCAGACCCATTATTTCCAGCATCCTCCTGCACCACTCTGACCAATTAAATATTAAAGGTCTCACTCTACTTTCTCTATCCAATGACTGTTGAGCTCTGTAAAAACAATGACGTCTGGAGGCATGACTCGGCATGACCCTGTTTCACCCGAGCAAAAGCAGGGGTACACAGTCCGTCCCGAAGTCCTGAAGTCAGAGTTCACGCATCCAACCTGCAACTCCCACAAGGTCCTATTCTTCATGACTCTTGCAAAAGGCAGGAAATGGCATGGAGGTTTTACCACCAGAATCAGAAATACTGGGTGGGTAAAAATACATAAAAATACTGGGTGGGTAAAAGATTCATGTTAATTTTGTGGAAGTTTGGCCTGTGACAATCGCTTCACGCTCATTGAAGCCCTCCTGATGGTGGAAGATTTGTAAGCCATCTCCACACTTCCAAACAAATAGGGTTGTGCCGTAGGTTTGACTTCTCCCTCCAGAATCTGCACCCACCCCGGCACCTCTGCAGCAGCTCGATTTGCCTTGCATTGCTCCTTGATTCCCTCCAGCACCTCAGCCACACCGAACCTCGCTCCGGGAACGAGGCCACAAAACCATACCCTGGGCCGCGCCTGGCCCTTTACATCATGGTGCCTCCAGGGATTAACTTCAAGGTTGATGTCAAGGATGGCGTCGTTCTGCTGCACTGAATCAGCCAGCGCCTGAGCGATTTCAGAGCCCAGCGAAATCGATCGGGCAGGGCGAGGCTCCCAGGCCTGGCCTTGGCACCGACCAGGCCGATTTCATTGCATGAAAGGTTGATGTGGGTAATGCAGCGGTTGTGCCTCAGCACCTCAGACAAAGCCTGGCATCAAAGTGACATGGAGGGAGAACAACCAGCTCATCGCAAAAGAATTGAGAAGGTTCCATGGCCTGTGCCCCAGCATCTTGGATTAGATTTTGTTCCAGGTTGATGCGGGTGACACTCTTGTTGATCTTCAGCGCTTTTGAGAGCGCCTCGCAGCGCCATGGACATGACTCAACGACGAAGAACGAAAGCGTTTTGTCGAGACGCACCTGGACTTGGGCATCCCGGATGAAGTGGTTCCGAAGATTGATCTCCGTCTTGGCCCCGGTTTTCAGCTCTTCCACAAGTTTCTGGCCGCCCGACCCAGTTCAGCCACCGAATCTCTCTAAGTAGCAGAAAATGTGTACTTGTTATCTGAAACGCGAAAGACTCAAAAAGATAACACATCCAATGGAAGCCCTTGACAGCAGCAACTCTTTGGCGGATCAGATCATCATCAAACTCAATCCCTGGTAGCTACGCACCCCCTGCAGCCAGTGAATGCCCTTTCTCGATGCTTTAAACCGTACGTGCCATGTCGCCCTGGCCCCGACAACAACATATTGACATACGGCCAAAATCACTTTGCAGGTTCTTGACAAGTTCTTGAAATTCACGACCGCTCTTTACTAAATTGGTCATCAAGGTTTTTGGCGGTTGCTCATCGGTCCTGAGATTTTGTTGTTTGCGCTCCACATCTTGGTCGAAACTCATGACTTGATGACAAATTGATGGTTTGTCACGTCCGAGCACTCGAAGAGAACACCCTGAGGCCTTAAAAGCAGCAGCTGCCTGTACCTTGTGACATTCGCTGCGAGCACTTTCGAATCCAGACGGGGGACGACGATGGGGCCAGTGGGCTTGGATGTCTAAAGGCCAACCCGTCCGATTTCACGTGCGCGTCCTTGCTCCTAGAAGTAAGGCCAGGAGCCCCAAGCAAATCTACATCATCTGAAAACACATGTGATTTGCTCCACCCAAACTGCATCTTGCCTCGACAAAGTGTTAAGACAGCAGTACAAAGTCCACATACCCCCCGAAGTTAACGCTGTCTTCTACCTCCAATTCCTAGCATATGGATGTACAGCGAAAGTCTTCCAAACGACCATGAATTGGGTTTTGTGACTTCAACTACTAGGTTGGTGGGCCAAGCAACATTTCTAGACATGTCTTTGCAACCTTGCCTTGTGATGAACACTTCAGATTCCCGATTCTGAGCCATCATCTCCAATGGAACACAAGTCCACGTACGGGGGTTCCCGCTTGGACCTGGAAACTTCTCCACCCCGCTAAATCCACAGCCAACCCCTGCGGCACCTCTTGGTTTGCCCTGCTCCACTTCTCAATTCGATACCACACCTCGGCCAGGCGCCAACCCCGCTCCGGGAACGAGGCCGCAAGACTGCAAGACCATACCCTGGCCCGTGCCTCCTGTGCTCCGTCCATTCGTGTCCAAGGATTCGCACTAAGGTTGATGTTAAGGATGGTCTTGTTCTTCTGCATGGTGTTGGCCAGGGCCTGAGCGATTTCAGAGCCCAGCGAAATCGATCGGGACAGGGCGAGGCTCCCAGGCCTGGCCTTGGCACCGACCAGGCCGATTTCATTGCATGAAAGGTTGATGTGGGTAATGCAGCGGTTGTGCCTCAGCACCTCAGACAAAGCCTGGCATCAAAGTGACATGGAGGGAGAACAACCAGCTCATCGCAAAAGAATTGAGAAGGTTCCATGGCCTGTGCCCCAGCATCTTGGATTAGATTTTGTTCCAGGTTGATGCGGGTGACACTCTTGTTGATCTTCAGCGCTTTTGAGAGCGCCTCGCAGCGCCATGGACATGACTCAACGACGAAGAACGAAAGCGTCTCTTGAGACGCACCTGGACGTGGGCATCCCCGATGAAGTGGTTCCGAAGATTGATCTCCGTCTTGGCCCCGGTTTTCAGCTCTTCCACAAGTTTCTGGCCGCCAGCCGACCCAGTTCAGCCCCCGAATCTCCACAGGTAGAATTTTGAGCATCGTGAGGTTTCATGTCCCATGATTCATCTGACCCTCAAAAGTCGCTCTAGATCTGCTGAAATGATTTTCCCAGTAGTGTGCCAATTCATTTCAATCCTCATGATGTGCGACAGGGCTAGTTCATCGAGGCCAGGCTCGTACCAAAGTTTCCTCCAGAATCTCGAAAGGCGCCCCACAGAGGGTTTTGCTCATCGCCCCACACCTTGATACCAACACAGCTTCAAAGCCTGGAGGATCTAATAGAAATGGGGATCAATTGCAGGGAAATGCAATTAAATCCGCCAGAATCCTTTACAGCATCAACTTTGTGGGTGATCGTTTGGTGATTGAGAGCAAAGAGATCATCATGATCCAAATGGGATCTCCATTGGCTGTGCAAGCACACAGGGCCAGCGAATGCCAATGAATCTTGATTCGGAGCCCTGCGCTCAACAAACCATGTCCAAGATAAGAAACCTGCATTGTATGTACCTATATTGTATTTTATATATTGATATATAGCCTGACACATCTTTTGGTTGACCCAAATGCAAATAGATATTGGCTCATGCTTCATCTCGGTTAATAACTGATGATTTGATGACATCTGCTAGTTTGCATGTCCCAGAAGTTCCCAGAAGCCACTGAGCCCCGAGGCCTTAATGTCAGCAGTTGCCCTTGCCTGGCTCGACGTTTTCGGCTGCGAGCCCGCTCGAACCGACCTACGGACACACCATAATACTGTGATCAAAGCGAAGACCGGACACAAACACTTTGAACCCAAAAGGTGAAGACCACTGGTTGGACAGGGACTGGTTCGATGTGCTCGCCCCAGTTGACCGATCGAAGCAGCATTTCACTTGGATTTTTTCGAGGCGTTCGAAGTACATTCAATACAATTATTGTGAATTCAGGTCAAATACTTACTGTACCTTTTTAAATGCTGTATGAACACATGAAAATGCTGCAACAACAAGGAGTTCAAATTTTATCCCCCAAAATTGCAGGCTGGGAGATACCAGTCGTTGCTGTAGAAAAAATATTATTGGAATGTCTTGAAATCTTGCTCCTGGAAAAATCACAACAGGTTCAACAGCCGTTACTAATGAACAGCTCTTGAGCCATCTCTTCACACTTTTCCGAAAGGATGGTTGACACTTCCAAGGGGCTACTACCCCGTCCCGCCTTTAGACTTTGGGAATGTGGAGGCTTATTCACCTGTAATAGAGTGCAGTTGCCATTCAGTAATGACCTGATATTTACAGTAAAGGATATTGCCCAAAGAACCGTCCTTGGAAGATCCATGGCCCTTGAATGTCCTCAATATGCGTCAATCGCCTGACCTAACAGTATCGATGATACACACCAAATGCTCACCTACACTTGTGATGTACATATTTTGGTCTTGGTGCGTGCGTGGTCCGGTTTCCCAACTTCTCCCCAACAAAGCAGCACCGCACCGCGCCGCGCTGCCTCTCGATTGGCCTCGCAACGCTTTTTGATTCGGTCCAATGCCTCGGTTGATGGAACGACACGGACGACCACGGGCGCGGACGACGACGCGATGCCGACGCGCCTGGCGCCCTTCGTCCGTTTCCTCGAAGGGATTGGGGGGAAGGAGTCGCCGAGGGTGATATTCAATTTCGCGAAGAGAAATCTCAAGGATGGCGTCGTTCTCCTGCAGTGCCTCAGCCAGCACCTGGCCGATTGACATGCGGGGTTCAAGAAACAAGAAACCGTCCATTTTCTGGAAGGCAGCATGACAGCATGGCCTGGATACCGTCAGAGCCGATTTGATTGGCATGCAGGTTGATGTTGGTGATGCTGCGGTTCTGTTTCAGCATCTGTGCCAGGGCCTGACAGTGGAATGACATGAGGCAAAACAAATGGCACATCCCGGTGGCAGGCAGCACGGCCTCCGTGCCGGCATCGCCAATTTGATTTCCCCCAAGGTAAACGTGCGTAATGTTAAGGTTCACTGTCAGCATCTGAGCCAACGCCTGGCATTGGGTGGAGCGATACGACGCCATCACCAGGTTAGTAAGCTTGACAAACGGAGGGCGACAATAGGCATCGGTGACACCTTTGCACCGATGTAGGTGATGTTGTTCTTGGTAAGGTTGACGTCGGTGACGCTGCGGTTGTGTTGCAGGGCTTCAATCAACACCTGGCACAGGTGTCGCTTGCGATGAGATGCGGCCGACGTCCCTCCTCGGGGCCTGGATGACGGCGTCCCCAAGGTTTGCGTTAAAGACACTGAGCTTGCTCAGGGTGCCACCATGCGTCAATTTGTCGGCCAAAGCCTTTGGCTGTTCACCGTGAACCACGCACAGCGATCCAGCTTTCTGGATGGATTTGTGCAAGTTTTTTTCAGGTCTCATGCGACTCATGTGTCACCTTCTGCCGTGAGTGATGTATTTCCAGCTTGAATCGGAGTCTCACACAAGCAACTCGGCAACAAACATCAGTGTGGTTTCAAAGTCCTGGATGCGCAGGCGTCCAGGAAATTTGTCTGCACGGCCATCTGCACGGTGATCTCCCCTGATTCTGCTCCTCTTGGCCTCAGCAGCCTGCAACAAATGTGAACGCAGCGCTGAAATGATGCTCTGCAATCATGAAACTAGGGTGGTCATCAGGATCTAGTCATCTAGTCCACAGCCGATGCCTAATTACATGCCTGCCTCTGCAGTTTCTACAGCAAAGGCAAGAACCACTACACTCAAAACAGCATCTTGTAGCCCTACCTTCAAAAGGCACACCGCACCCGACAGCCTCTGCAGCTGCTCTGTTTCCCTCAAGGCGTTCTTCAAGTAACCGTATTGCCTCGTGCAACTTTGCAGTCAAACAAGCGGTCACAGAAGCCAACAAACGCGCACACACACACACACAAAGTGAGTCCGAGGCCTGCTTCCCCACATCAGAATCAATACCCTGATTGTACCTAAGGTCGAGGTCGGTCACTGTGGTGTTGTAGGCCATGGCATCAGCGACTGCCTGGTGGAGGGGGTGGGCACCCTTCCATTCCCAGCGGCAAAATACGTGTCCATTAGCTTTAGTGTGAAACGCGCGCTGTGCATGTGAGTTCAAACGTCGCAAACCATCTTGTCCGCAGAGGGTCAACAGCAGTTGTGCATTCGTGCACTCCCTAATTCGCTCGCGGTGTCTGGCTTCGTTCCTTTTGCTCTGGTTCGTTGCACTACACCCTACAAGTCAGAGGGCTTCATCTACCACTGACTTCACCGGTAGCAGAGCCCGATCCATTTGGGTGAGGGCTCCTGCGCACTTCGCTGGCTTCGGAGCTGGGCGTTTGGAACAAGGTCTCGGTGCCTTCCCTTTGTCGGTCTCTTTGCGATCCTGTTTGCTGAGTTCTTTACTTGACACCCTACGTCCAGTTCGATGGTGTCCAAAGAACAGACGGCCTATGCGGAGTCTGCGTGATTCGTTTGCGCCCCTATGTCTTCATCCATCGTGGGGCACCTGTCGTATCCTGTGAGCATGGTCGATCCGGCCACGCGTTCACAACAACTTACCTCAAATCGGAGAGCAGGTGACTATGTCAAATCGCTGGAGCGTGCATGGGTGGCCCACTTTCGAGCACGACAATTGACCCCGGCTTGGCCGTGTTTTTGAAGAGTGGGCCGCTGCACAGCACACTGGCCCTGGCTGAAGCCCACAAGCGCCTCACCATTGTGGAACGGCGCCCTGCGGAAGTCGGTTGAGATCTGGCAGCTGGCATCCGTGAAGGAAAGCTTGCAGAACCATCTAGTTGTGGCATTCATGTTCAAACAAAGGAGAAGTCAAGTGGGTACGTTGACAAGGGAGATTCTATGGCAAGGCTTCTTAGTTACACAAGAAGGTGAAGCAACCCAAGATTTGACGCGAAAAATTGTTTGCAAGCCTCTGAATAAACGAGCACCTTCTTTCATTGAGACATTGGTCTTTTGCTTTGTCCATCTTTGCATGTTAAAGGCGCCACTCCTTCCCTCCCTCCTTGTTTCCTTCCCTCTGGACGTTGCAGAGAGCACCAGCTGAAGCTGGGCGCGGGGTAGCCTCTGCGACCCAGCTGTGGAGAACATTGCAACGCCAGTTGACCTTCACCGCAGGGGCCTCCAGCTCAGTCTGGGGCGGCGTGCCCAACACATGCCCTTCAGAATTTGCCCAGAACTGAGCTTGAACTTGCCAGGCGAGCCAATCAATGCAATCTTCCCTTGCTTTTTTAAAATCCTGATTACGCCCAAATCTTCTCAATGAATTTGCTTAAAGCATCTCTGCACTCCTATGAAAATCCTAAAGGCCTCCCAGGCAAGCTTACAAGTTTGGCAGTGGAGACACATGAATGTTTAATGTTCATAAAACACATAGAACATGCTGATCTACAGAGCTCCGCGTGTAGACAGTCAATATCAATTATATAGAAGCATTCCTTTGGCTCCAAGACAAACGCAAGGATCCAGGTTTTTTGCATCCCAATTGCCTTAACGTAGGCCGCTGGTCTCTGTAAAAAGACTATAAAAATCCTGGGTTCACAAGGCATACCAACAATGGCCACCAAAACATACCAAAATCCTCTCTATAAAATGCTGAATCTGCAAAAAGGATCACACTCTATAAAATGAGGGTCCAAAAGGCACTTTATAGTGTCAAATGATCGTCATATTATACAGGACCAAGCACGGAAGATCTTGAGGATACATATTGACAACATGGAGTTGCTGCTACTGGGACGTGAAATGATCTCAATTAAAGGAACAATCTAATAAGGTTTATCTATAGTATTTGAGGCTTGTTGGATGCAAGGGTGAAACCAATTTCATCAATATGAAAGCTGATGCTGCACTAGCTATAACTCATAATGGAAGTTACCATCTACCAAATTGGATGTGCCTGATATTGCAAATAAAATGATCCTAGACTCTTGGCGGCAATATCAAAGCTGTCAAGCAGTCTGAAGTGATTGGCAGCAAACAAGCAATTAAGGCTGCTCAGATGCACACGTCAATGGTATGGTTGCATTATGTTGTCTTAACGTTGCAAACACCCTCTGAATCTTCTGATATCTTGGCACATTCTCAGAGTGGTCAAGTCAAAACGTTGATGGATAATGATAGACATGTTCATTGATAAAATCCTAAAGTTTAGATTGTTCGGCTCTAAACTCATACATACTTGTTACTGATGGCAATGAAGAACATCTACACTAAATAAATGCGCAGTATAGTTTCAACGCGGGCAGCAGGTATAGTAATATAGTTTCATATTGTTCACATGTGTGTCACTGTATACTCACCAAGAACCATGCAGGAATTGCGGCCTTCACGCCCTCGTCTGTGATCTGATTACCCTTCAGGTTGATCCTGGTGAGCGTCCTGTTAGTCTTCAAGACTTCTGCGATGACCTGCCAATGGCACCACTTTCAGGACCATCCCAGTACCTCAACTAACTCCGCTGGCCATTAGGCCGGGCCTCCCGTCTCTTAGCCAGGCCTCAGCGAGCCGATTGCCCATGTGACAGGACTCGAAGCTGAGCTCGATCATCGAGGCGAAGGTGGCGACATCGAGTGAGCCGACATCGAGTGCCTCGGTCAGGCCACCGCTTTGCATCGTGCCGAGGGCTCCAAGTTTCGACGGTCGACGGAACGTGGTGAAGCAACCACGTGCCGAAGCGCCATCCTCGCATAGGTCAGACTCAGCTTCTCCAGCTTCATGGAGCTAAGCACCTTTGAAATGGCCCCATGAAATCATCAAATGGAAAAGAAACGCGCAAACAATGCGCAAAGAAATGCTATTAACGAACTTTGCATACCGTGCTCTTTCTTTTAAGACTTGGCCAGCCTCGAAAAAGGCCTTGGCCTCCGCTTCACCGGCTTGGAAGATGTAGATGTCCAACACTTTGAGCTGCGGGAAGTAAGGCAGTGAAGCGGCCAGCTCAACCATGTCGGCTTGGGTCAAGTGCTCCAGCTTCAAATGCTTTCTCACGGTGACTTTTTGGTGAAAGATCTTCCTTTGAAGATCAACAACGGTTGACGCATCGTTGCGATGCGTAAAGGCCGATGTGGTCATGCGCTTTCCAAACACTTCGGGCGCTGTGGGCACCATCTTTACAGTGACCTCTTTGCCGGGCTCACCATCGATCGCAATATTCTGGGCTGGAATGCCCCGTGCTGCAGACCATTCGATCTCGGCGCGGCACCAGCCGCGATCCAGGTAAAAAGCAAAATTTTCCATCAGCTCACTGAGTGGAACCCATGCAATCGAATTGCTCGGCAAATGGTAAATCGGCACCTTGTACGTTGAATCCTCTTTCCTAGCAGTCCAGGTATCAGCAGGTGTGAGACATTCCAGGCGGAATGTCAGAGTGCTCTGATGAGCGTACATCATGTGCATATTGGACATCGCTCGCCGGAAACTCGCCTCTTGCTCAGCTGTGTCGCGTTGGAATTGATACAAAGACACATAATCGTAAAACAACCAAACGTCGTCGACAAACGCAGCATCCCACAACGCTACACTGTCCACAAGATTCTGCAATTGAAAGTTGCAGGGATCCGGGTGCTCCCTTGATTCCCATGCGTGAGACACTGAGCACACTAACGCATCACGTCGACCCAAAGCCCATTCGGCCACTTCCTCGTGCGAGACCAATGCCGAGACCTTCTCGCCGTTCACCTCGCAGCTGTCGTGCTCCGCCTCTTGGCGCCGCGGCATGCATCTATTTGACTGGAGCAACTTGTAGAAGTACCTGGATGCCAAGTGGCACATGCTCTGCAAAAAAATGTCAGAAATACAGCCAAAGTCAATGATCTGCACAGACTGACACATCAGCGGGGTGTGGGGCACGGAGCCCTCACCAGACGAACGTCTGCATCGAGCAGGTATTTTGCCAAAGACTTTGGATCTTCCAAGTCATAGATGGGGACCTGCCAATTCAGAGTGCAAGCTCCAGAAAGAAAACGATCCGTACCAAGGAACACCAAAAACATCGAAGAAAAAATAGAAGCGTCATATCATGACCTTGCTGCTCAGTGAAGCTCAGCATTCAGAACCACAACCCTGCAGATCCAAGCTGGTGCAAGACCCAAGGCCTCGGGCCACAAAATGAAGGGAACGATGTAGCTGTACTCGAATCCTCGGCCTTGGAATCAGAGTTGTGCACCGCAATGCTCGGCTACGACAGTTGCAAATAGCTAGCAGGCAAGCAGGTTGTCAATGGAACGTGTTCAACACTGGAAGATGACATGCCCTGTGACCTGTCTATCCATATTTTGTATATATGGTTTCTGGTCTACCAACTCGTCTCGAATGTTGAAAAAGGTGTCCGACATCTCTGCCCATCTGCCCTTGAGTGCACATGAGTGGCTGTTGCAGTCTTCATTGCAAACAGTGAGACAAGAAACATCAAATGCCAAGCAGCTATTGGAGGGTGCACCTTTCAGTATCTCCTCTACTGAAGCCATCAGCATTTTATGATGTTGCTTTCAATTGAATGTGCCAACTGGTCGTGCAAAAAGCACGAAGTGGGAAAGTCTCCTCCAACTTCTCTTCTGAGAGCCTGCTGCCTCAGCAAGCGACTCTTGGAAAAAATGTCTTTCTGATGAAGGCAAAGCCAACAAAAGTCTGATAGTCCGTTAAAGGATGGAGATGATTTGCTAACATGCGGGAAGTCTTGAAGGAAATCGTTTGTTTCTTATTATTCATAATATGTTGGCTTACAATTCATGGAAATACATTTTAAAGAATATGAGAATGAAGATAAAGGATCAATTCCCCATTAAAAAAGAAAAAACATATGAATTGCTTTTTTTCCAACTTTAGGTTTTGAATGTGTGGCAGGGAGGGTTCAACTTCGGTAGATTTATGTCTTGTGTCTTCTTATAAAATCCTTTAACGAAGTTCACACTATTTAAACATAAGATGTGTCTTTATAGCTGTTATTTTGGTTTATTGGTCTATATCTACATTTCTGTTTCTTCGGTCCTTATGTCATCCTAGTTGGTTTCCTGGTTTACAAGAATGAATCCTGATGATAGAGATACGAACGATAGACCAATAAAAAAGAAAAGCACTAAATTGCTAGATCTATTCTCATTTTCATTGGTGGTAATTAATTTTTCTACCTTATTTCCCTTTATTTAGAAAACTTGAATGACATTGAATTATATATATATATTGGTTTATTGGATTCGAATGCTGGGGATATCGAGGCATAGCGGCATAACAAAGTTCGTGAACTTGTGGTGTCCAGTGCTGTTAGAGTCGCTGGGAATGACAGCACTGCACTTGTAGAAATCGATCTCCTTCGTAACCAGTCTAGCTCCCAAGTACCAACGTTGGCATTCGTATACATTCTACATCAGGGAAGATGAATGGAACATGAAAATTGACTTTTCGACGACGATATTCCTCTACAACCCGGTGGTTTTCAGGTTCCAGGTTAATCTTCCAGGGCGTAGACTCATGTTCAAGTTGTCCCTTGCAAGGGTTCAAGGGTCGGGCTGCAAAGCTGCACGATCGTGGCAATGGTCTGCCGTGGGAGAAAGCCTTAGAGCTTAAAGCGAAGCTGACCAAATCATCCACATCTGCACTCTGAACGGCAAATAATATCTATCAATAAGGCTTCCTCAAGCGGCAGTAAAACGCTCGGTATGGCAGTAAGCCCCTCGCGATTCATGACACTTTGGGATCAATTCCAAATTAATTGGAATCCACGAACATTCGTGCCTGCAGTTTTGTTGTGTTTGATTCACCTCCCAAATCAAACATGCCAAGACACCTGTCTTCTGCGGATCAAAGAGTTTTAAAAATCGGAGTGCATCCTCAACCTGTGTGCAGCTCATGACAGCTCACTTGCCTTGCTTGCAGCACAGTGAAACATCAGCTGATTTGGTGTTGGGGAGTACAGCAGAAGTCTCATTTCAGATTGGATACGAACCCACGCTCAATACACATTAATTGCATTGAAGGTCAATGCGGCTTGTACTGCCGACTTGTGAATTTTGTCATTTTCCTCAAGACTTTTGCACCACGCTGAATTGTCGGAAAGTGGGAAGACACTGTTTGACTTACCCAAAAGAGCTGCAGTGCACGAGGGAGCTTTGAGAGCTTAATGAAATCGGTGAATGCATGTTGATAGATCAAACGGCCAATCAATGGCACTTCTTCGAACAACTCATCGTTATTCAGTGAGTCTACTTTGCCATCGAATGGCTGCAATGCAATACAAATGCCAGTAGCTGTGAGATTGGTGCCAAAGTAGGCCAAAAGATCAAGTCGTAGCAGGGAGGTGTTGAACACAATAGACATACATTGGGTCTATCCTATTGCCTGTAACAGTGGATGATGATGGTTAGTAGAGGCCTTGTCCAGAAATAGTGATAATTGTTTAGTGACTGTTACAGGTGATAGGACAGACCCAAGACATACAGTCCAATCTATAGTGGCGCTCATAGCATGGAGCGGAGGTTTGGCAGGCTACAAATGTTGTCCTTGCTCAACAACAATTCTAGGTTTTTCCCGAGAGTGTGTTCTTTGTTCCAGATGTCGTTGCATGTTGAAAGGCCCCTTTTAGATCCTTTTGGTGCATGTGCAAATTGTGAATTTGGAAGTGTCTCTTCAATGCCCAGTTCCGACCTTCACGCTCTCTTCAGGTCGGTCCTCCTGGCGCAACCGGCGGGCGAAGGTCGGTCCCTTCAGTTCCCTTCGGTTGTTGCCCGCAGTAGACACACGACATGAGAGAGAAGCGGATACCGATGATGACTTCCAATCCCTTTTGGACCTTGACTCAGCAGTACAAAGAATGCGCTGCCTAGAATGCATCCGCTGCACCACCTACGACTCCGACAGATGCAACTCCGCTGGCTACCACCACCTCTCCTCGAGAGCATCAAAGCAAACGTGATCCTCCTGATGAATCTCACTGGCAAAAGGCAAAAGGAGTATGAACATTGTTTGACTACTTTTTGAACGAGCACAAAAACACTTCTCAGAAGCCTCCACAGGTTGGCAGAGACAAGAGCCCATGGAGCCCATGGCTCAGTCAGGCTCAGTCAGAGTGCCCTAATCCAAACCAATGCTGAGCCGAAAGGCCGTCATCGGATGAGTTGCGATCGCTGAAAAAGCACACCAAACGCATGAAAACACCTTCACTTGCTTATATAATTTAAGCCCACGTTCTCCAGAGTCCCTTGGCACCAAACTCCAAGTCTCTCATGACGAGAATCGTGTTGTCATGGGACCCTTCCAACCTTTGGACGACCACGTCTTTGACATTGGAATGGTGGCCCATGGTGAAGCAGCTGGCTGTTATACACAAAAACTGTTATTATGAGCTCGGGGAATACTCAAGGATCCTCAACCAGGCGCTACAGTACTCCATGATTTTCTATGAACCCTTAAGTTGAAACAACGAAACTCCTTTACAAGAAAGACCACACACAACCTTCCCTGTACCCTAAGAGTCCAAAATCATTAAAAAAAAATCATTTTATAAATATATATTTATATATATACAAAGGTCTTTAGGTGACCCAAAAAGGAACTTCCTTTACTTCAATGGATCAAAATATCGTCTTTGGACTCCTAGGGTGTAGCTGGGGTCGGGGCCTTCACATGCTGGGGTCGGAGCCTTCGGGGCCGAAGTGATCTGGCAGGGCGAAGGCGATGAACAGCCGACCAAATGAGGGACAGTCAGCATCCGTTGACCTGGCACCTTTGGGTGAAGAGTCCTGATGGTATCATTTGTGCGTTTCTGGCTTCCCTGATGGTAACGTTACGAGGGAAGCCTTCAAAATGATGAGATTTCTCTGCCACAACCCCGCTCTGCGCCGGGAACGAGGCCAAAGACCCGACCCGGCCAGGCCTGCCACCCGGCATCAGAGTCTCTAATCAAGTCAAGTTCGATGTAAAGGATGACACCATTCGCCTCCATTGCCTCGGATGGTAGGAGCCCAGCGAAGTCAAAGGAGCCCAGCCCAGTCGAAACCGGGGCAGGGCGGGGCACCGCCTGGCCTTGGCACTGACCGTGCCATGCTGCGGTTCTTCTTCAGTACCTCAGCCATGGCCTGGCATCGGAGTGACATGGAGGGAGAACAAACAGTCTATCACGAAAGGATCAAAAAGGGATCCATGGCCTGTGCTCCGGCATCTTTGATTTGATTCCATCTAAGGTGGATGTGGGTGATACTCTCGTTGATCTTCAGCGCTTCTGAGAGCGCGGAAACATGGTGACGAAGAACGAAGCGCGTCTCCAGAGGCACCCGGGCCTGGACTTGGGCATCCCCAATGTATATAGTTTCTCAAGATCGCTCTGCGTTTGGGCCCCGTCGGTCTTCAGCTCTTCCACCAGTTTCTGGCATTTGGGCACAAAGTGTATCTAAAAGCAGCGGAAAGTTTTACCTCATCCAAGGTGATTGGTGGTATCTTTAAAATCGACCATGGAACACGGTGAAAGCAAAAGACTTTAAAGGATCTGAATGAAGAAAGAAGCCCTTGACAGTAGGAACTGTATGGGTCTTCTATCTGTGTTCTGCAAGTAGTGGGTGCATGCTTGACGTTGTCCCAACGCTTAACATCTGAGCCAAAAGCTGAAGCAAAGCTGCTGTCGCTGCTTGTTGAATCTCGTCGCTGCCGAGCACCGAAACACAGAAACACAGCGACGATGTTTTCTCGTTGGGTGAGAGGCAATTGGACTATGTACACATGGAGACCATCATCTTTCAATCCTTTGGACCTTCCTTGGATTGCCCGTCCGTGACTCTGACCATGACTGTCCACAGCTTTATGTGGAGAATCCGTCGAGACCGTTTTGGATCACTGGGATCCTTCAAAAGGCATCGCTACTCAGACAGGGTGCTGATGAGAGTCCTACCATCCACTCAGACGGGATCACGCGAATTTTTTCGTTCTTCAATTCATCTGCAAGAGTATAGCTGTTTTTGTTGGGGGCCTCATAGCCAACAAATAATGTAGCGCTTGGGGTCAAGCCAGCATCCTGCAAAGTCCTTGGTGTCGACTTTGTTTACATTCGCTGGTAAAAACCATCGCGACACACCAGAATGAGCGGACAGGCTGAGGACCCATCTGCTTTCTGTCCTTAGTAACAAGGATCTGCAAACCAAATCCACAGTGTGCTTTGGCAACTCCCCGGTGAGTCATGGCAAAATGCATGTCCTTTTCTGTGCCTTGCAACTAAGCGGTCCACTGTATAGGACTTGGGTGGAAAAGCGGTCCTGTCATGGAAGGAACTCTCGGAGTCAGCAAAAAATCGTTCGTGGAGAGCAAACAAATGCCAGAAGAATCTGAAGTCTTTATAGCTTTTGTAGTGTGAATATTTCTTGAACAATTTTGTGTTTGACAACATCATGAAATGTCTAGCATGGCATTCGTGGGTCACGCACCCGCATTCCGCACTTTGGCCTTTGATGGTTCACCTGAATGGGCTCTTGAGCGTCGTCAGAGGCATTCTTGGTGTCTCACCCTCCATGTTGAACCTTCTACATTCAAATGAAAGGCAGCACGTCGATGAGTTTGCTTCCCCATTTCCTGCATCCTGTCTTCCCCGCCGCAGAAACGCCCCGCGCGTTCCCGGCATTCGTCGCGTGCCTCAGCACAGCTCCAGGTCGGGTTCGCCCCACCTTCTGCTTCGACCGCCAGTCTGCCAGGGCTTCCCTGTCGGAAATGAGCAAACCGCCCTACCGCCGCGTCGGAACAGAAATGGCCGAAAGCCAAAGGCCGACGTTTTGAGCACAAAACAGTGTTCTTTCTGAAAGGAATACGTTTGCAACCGTCCATTAACAAGAGGTTCGTCGATGCAAACCAGCAAGTTAAATCTGTATAGGCAAACGGAGAAGTGTGAAGAGCCCCTGATTGCCTTGCACTCCTGCTCGCATGCTCGTCGTGCGTCTTTGCAGCCAAAGGACCACAAATCACCGATGGTCGCGTCAAACTCCATCTTCAGAAGGACTTTCTGTCCACTTTCCAACTTCACCTCTGCCGACTCGTTGACTAGCTCCCAGTTCTTTGATGGAGTAAGACTTTTTGACCAACAGGTTCCTTGTGTTCAAAGCAAGCTCACTCTCCAGCAACCAGTGAGTAGCAACAAACTCGGCCAACCCCACCACTGGCCTGCAGTCGTGCAGCCGGTGCGTCCGCAGGTCGGCCAATGGCCAGCAAAGCAACTTCCTGGTGACCTCCACTTCTCCGTCGCTTCGACGACGAGGCGTGCGACGCATGAGTGCAAACGATGCGCCCCCCCATTCTTGCGCCTGATGGTGGGGGGGCTGAAGCGCTCCGTGGACCAGCATCAACACCAAGCCTTCGCACCACGTTGCCGCGTTGTGAGAAACCATCTGAAATCTATATATATATATATACAATCATATATATATACTATACATTACTATACGCATATATATATATATATGTCAAAACAACGGGGTTGGATCCTACCAACACGAAAGGGCACGCTGAAGCCTTTTCTCGCCTGAGCAAAGCGGTCCCTGCGAACGATCCGATGGCATCAAGGCAATGCATGCTGGGCGCATCAACACTGACTATATTTTCTATGGTCGAAGGGCAGTGTCGATGGTTTCCACATCAGCAGCTTCTATCGCCAGTGATCTCAAGTGGTGTAGCTTCACTTGAACGATCGGCGCACTTCCGTGCCTGGAATCAAGCAACCTGTCTTTCCACCAGTCTTGGCACTCTCAGCTTCGAATCGATGGATGTAGGCGATCAAATCCTAGAGCTCTCCTCCGGAGGATTCAAGGCGAGGCCGGCACCATTTGACATAGCTGCGGGCTTCATCCTCTTCAGAATCAATCAAGTCACGGTAGCACCAGTTCCGGGACTTGAACTTGCCAAAGGAGATCTTGGTGGTGCCCCACTGCTTAGTGGAGACAATGCCGGGCGGCAAAGGAATCTCGGACATGAGCTCGGGTGCGGTGGAAGGAAAAGGCACATCATCGCTTGTTGCGGCATATGTCGAAGAGCCCTTGGTATCACACTCCAGCTCTGGCACCTGCATGGTCTTTCGACCTGACTTGGTGTTCATGGGGTATTGACCAGAATCGCTCTGCCTCTTTGAGGCGTCACTCATAGTGCCAACGAGCTCGAACTCATCTTCACCCCAGCCTAGATCCGCCAATGGATTCACTCCATTGCGGGAAGCCTTGTACAGCAAGGCTCTCAGCTGCTCATTGTCCTTTTGACTCCAGGACATGCTGTCGGTGCGCACCGGCGAGACAGGATATGCGGCTTGATTTCTTCAAGACTTGCGCAAAAACAGAAAAGTAAACAAACTGTGCTTCTGAATGCATGACATAGAAACGGACTGTACATGGCTTGCAATCTCGGTTTCGAACAACACACTTGAATGCACCCTCAAAACTGCTTTGACAGTTCAAGCATTGCATGGTTGTTACTTCACTCGAGATCTAACATTTTATCGAATTCAAGCATCGGCAAGCTCGGGACTGAGAACCTCTTTTTCCTTCGAGAGAGCTAGATTTCTTCTCTGAACGCGCAACTCTCTTTCAGCAGCCTGTTGAGCTAGCACGTGTTGTTCTGGGGAGATTTGATATGATGCACTACGCATACAAGCTCTGAGAAGGTCTATGGGATCCATCTTATCCTTTGTGAGGGCATCAGCTAGCATGCGGTTTGTGGGGATCCATCGCATAGAAGACTTGGTTGCTTTAATTGACTCACGAATGATGACTATATCTATGCTGGTTCGTCGATCATCTACTGCTGTGGGTGAGGAAGGACTGATGAGATGGTCATATAACGATTTACAGTCTGTCGTGAGGATTGGAGGACGATCATGTAAACGTTGGCGGCTCAATCTAGGCTCGAACTGACCATCGAGAGCTTCGCTGAGGATCAAGCTGACCCACTCAACAGTTCCAGAAGCGGTAGCCAAAGCCTGGCTTTCGCCCGCTAATGTCGAACTCACAGCGCGAGGCAACTTGTAGCTTTTCCAGGCCAATGGTGTCCAAGGTGAGATTTCTCCTTTGTCCAAACCTTGGTCGACAAAAGCTAAGATGTAGCCTGCCTGTGTGTGAGTCCCAACATTTGCGAAAGCAGCGTCGCTATGACAGCAGACTCGAAGCCGATCAGGTGGGATGGCACGAAACTGGATCTTTAAGTCTCTGTGTTGCTTCGCTCTCCGAATTGCATTGTTGGCATCTCTCAGGTGCTTAATGCATGGATGAGGAAACACTTGCTGAGAGAAGCTTGTTTGCACGGCAAGGTCGGGTCGGGATTGTGATGAGATCCAGTTAAGGCTTCCATTGATGGCTCGGAGAACTCGGATCTGCTGATCGGACAAAAGCTGCTCATTATCTACTCCCTTGGTCACATGCGCTGGACGAAGGTTCTCGGCGAAGTTCTTTTGAGACATGGAGATCTCTTTGGTTTTGGGGTCTTGCACATAAAAGGCACCACAAAATTCCCCCGACTGAACTCGCCATTTCCTATATGGGAACCTTTGTTTCAATCTATGAACAGCATCTTCGAACACCTGACCTTGACCGCCTAGAGCGGTATCGTCCACGTGTGCACCCATGATACCTACGAGTAGATTGTCTTGGCGCAAATAGTACAGGCAAGGGTCAAACCTAGAACGTTCCCAACCAAGTGAACATGCAGCTTCATCGAACGTGCGGTGCCACGAGGACGGAGCGTCGTTCTGTCCGTAGACATTTCCAACTACCTCCAGAACAGCGTCATCATCGACCGACGGAATACCACCTGCAGGAATTCGAGCATAGAGGGGCCGAAAACGATCTGGAAGCGGACCAGCCTCTAGGAATGCTCCTTTTATATCCCCTAGCTGCAAATTCCAACCGTATGATGTGGTAACTTGCATGAGTATCATTCGTCCTATTTGACTCAGTGTGGGACTCTGAAGCAACCCTTCATGAAGCTTGGTGTCCAGATCTGGGTCCAAGTGCCCTTGTAGGCACCAGCGGCTTTTCACACGAAAAGAACTTGGATCTTCAGGGTCAAAGTGGAGATTCTCTTCCAAAGGCTTGCGAACAATGACAAATCGACTGCCCATGAAACGGTCGGGATGTTGAGCCTTTATCCAAGCTGCTTTCTTTCCAGTGTGAACCCTAATGGCACCCTTTTCCATGAGAGTGGTCCATTCGACTAACTTGGACTCTTCTACCGCCTGTTGCAAGAGTGGGGGATTCCCCGTCGCCGGAATTTCTTTTCCGGCCCTCTTTTGGAGGTAGGCTGCGATGAGCACTTCGATATCTTTGGACTGGTCCCAAATCTGACACAATTGATTGCAGTCTTGAACCGACAGGATTTCCACTGAAAGTTGGTCGTCGGACATGAGTCTAGCCCTATAGTTGACGGGGGTTCAGTTGTGTCGGTGGTCTCGGGGTGATCACGCTTGATACCAGAAGCGCTGCTGGGACCAGAAGAAACAGTCACTTGTTGATCGATGAGTTGTGGGACAATTTCACGCATGATCTCAACAAAGTCTTCATGTCTGGTCATAGGAGGACGGTAAAGCGCCGCCTCTCCAGATTTCTCATGCACACGATGCTTAGATCGAATGGGGCCATAGCCTGTTTGACTGGGCATCGGCGACTTGTCAATGACTTCAGGCATTTCGGCATTCTGTTCTGCAGGTGAGGCTTCCGCAGTCATGGGAACATCCAGGTCCACATTAGTACTTGGGTTTGACTGTTCCTCAGTTGGAGCAATTTGAGGAATTTCTTGAGCTGTTGGACTATCGGATGCAGTTGTTACAACCCCCGGTTCATTCGGATCCTCCTGTTGCAGTGTGGGGTAATGACCAGGAACCAAATCGATGAAGTTCTTGCTGCGAAAAGTGCCTCCTATGATCATGTCCTTGATACCTAGCAATTCTGTTTCCGGTGTCTCGACAGTTGCTCGTTCTTCGGAAGTTGCTAACCTCAGTTGTTCAGGCGCCGCTCGAAAAATTTGTTTCCGATGTGCAATGATCAGGTTTCGACCGACATTCCCGATGACTACCGCTGTGCCGTACCATTGACCACCTTGGATCACGCCTTCCCCGGACTGGAATTTCTGTTGTCGCCAGTAGGCAACCAGAGTACCTGCAGGAAAGTTCAACACGGCACGAGGTCGGGCAGCCAAGGCTCGACGCAACGACTGGCTGTCTTGCGTTTCTATCACCGCTCGCCGTGCTGACGTGCGGATGGATTGTGCTCGAGCGACACACTCATCGGTCAAACCCGCAGTGGCAGGAACAACACTCAATGGTTCATCCATGAGATCGGAGGGTACCCGAGGATTACAACCAAACACATGTTGTGTTGGAGTATACCCATAGTTCTGAATCATGGAATTCTTCACATGAGCATGCACAACACATTCTTGCCATGTTTCACGATCGACCGGGCAATGTTCTGCAATGATCTTGGTCAGCACACGAGCAAACCACCCACCGTGGTTTTCCGTTTTCCCGAGTTGCCAGTGGGCTTCAGCTGGGATTACTCGGACTTCAGTCCCTGACAAGTCAAGAGCATTCTGTAGGGCTTCTCCCATGTTGGTTTGAGCGGGATCTAGGATGATCACTTGTGGGGGCCCAAACACGCGAATCCAATTGTCCAAGAACAGCTTGCGAAGAACAGCAGTGGTTTCTGGTTCATGAAAGGGAAGAATCATCTGATAACTACTTCCATGGCAAACAATGTTGAGGGCACGAATCTTTTGATTGGGTTTCCAACCTGGCAAGTATTTGACATCCATGCCGATGGTGTGATTGAACTCGGTCACGCGACTGGTCTTTGCTGGCAATGCGACATGCGGTCGAGCGTGTGTTTTGCACTGTTCGCATTCGTATTTCCTAGACAGTGTGATGGCTCTTTCACTGGCCTGGGCATGTTTCAAGATTCGGACGAGATCATGACTAGGAGGATGACCCAGGTTGCGATGCAATCTATCTAGGACTTTCATGACTTGTTCATCGGATGCACCTTCAGCCTCTAAGTCTTGTCTTGCCATCAGGACCTCATGTCGCTGCGCACTTGTGCCTACTTCGCATTCCACCAGACTGGCGGCTTCATACTGTTGAAACGTGGGGACTGTTTGCAGCACGGCTTGCACAAACTGAGGAGTGTATTGACCTGCAAAAACACTGATGGACCCCACGCCAGGAGCCGAGCCAGCAATGATCTGGTGGCAGGCATGCCGTGAATGGTTTGCTCCTGGACACCTCTTACCTAGGCATTTCATGTCCTCATGCGACACTAAAAGATTTGCGCTCTTACGGATCAACTGTTTGGCACCAGGGAGGTGCAAACCATACCGACACATGTGACAGGTGACTAGCTCATGCTCTTGGCGCAATGCTTGGACTTCAGGATATGTCCACAGCCTGGACCCCTTGGGATGTTCAAACACGGCCCGTTTGCCGGCTCTTACTTGTTGACGGAACAGTTGACAGCAAAATCGAATTCTGCTTTGAGCCAGCTTGGTAGCCACCTCCTGAGGGTCCATGTATGCCACGTTCAAATGGAACCACCCTCCCTCATTGGTACATGGAGGGCACAAAATCAGGAGTTCCGGCGGAGATTGCCGGAGTTCTTCTCTGACCTGTTGGCGAGTGGCGGCTTTGCAGAAATCAAATCCAGTTTTGAGGTCGTATGAACGAGTGGAAAAACCGAGTGACTCTGCATGTGGGGCGAATCGTGGAGGTGAAAACACCTCAGCAACCATGAAGGGTTTTCCATCCAACTGTGAAATACCTGAAGATGTCAACGGAGCGCATGCACAACACTCGAACTGCCTCAGCTGATGAGGAGGAATGACGTCAACAGGTAGCATCTGTTCCTGTGGCACGAAGCGAAATTCGGTGTGAACGGACAACACTTCCCTAGGTAAGGCGTGGCGATATGTGCTTTTACCTAGTTGTGGATGAATCGGCTCATCAAACAGACACTTGCCCGTGGAGGCATCTGTGACGATTCGCCTCCGGACTGAACTCCACAAAGGACCTTGCTTACCTAGACCTGGCACATGAGAGACAGCATGGTCAAACCGACACCAACTAGCTAGGTGGTCCGTGCCTGTGGCTGATGTGGAACTTGATGATGATCCGGGATCGTCTGACGTCTGGGCAGGGTTCAGAGTACTGCACTCTGAAGCATTAGATGGCTGCGTGATCATGACTTCGGCAAATGGCTGCGAAGCGGAGTCACTGGGCTGACCGAGCAAATCAACGGTGTACTGACCAGCTTGATTGGTCAGCAGTGGTATCTTGACCTGATCTTCAAACAACTGCAGCTCATTGTCAGCGAAGTTGATCACTGCCTTTAATGACTTCAAAGCATTCCGGGAGACCAGCAGGGGCGCTTGGCCCTTGACAATGGCAACTTTGATTGTGCCTGCTCGACCGCCTAGCCGAACAGGAGCTCGGATTGCCAACTCAGAGGTCTCTTGTTGGCCATTTCCATACTTGAAGTGATTTGTCTCGGCCAAGGGGACAGGAAGTTCCCATCCACGATCTGTCCACAGGGCCTCAAACTCCTTCAAGGTATCAGCTCCAATGATGGATTTGCCACATCCAGAATCCAATACACCACAGCCAGGAGAACTGACTAGGAGCATCTCTGTACTGGATGGGACGGGTTCAGATGGTGCCGTCACCGTCGTTGCACGCTTGTTCAACAACCACTGTAAGGACAACCAGGGCGAGGGAGGAGGTGTCACAATGCTCACTGCAGCAATGAACTCTTCAACCATTGCTACACCACTTTCAGCTGTTCTATGTTGTGATGTCGAGGACGGTGCTGAACTGGCCTTGTGACCTTTGCCCGAGCCCTTGGTAGAGCGACACTCTCGGGCCCAATGACCGACTTGGCCGCACTTGTTGCACTTGGTTCTGCGCTTCATCTCCTCAATCTCAACCTTGAAGCTCCGCTTCATGTCACTAGCTTGTGTAAACTTGCGGGCTCGCTGAAGCTTGGTCATCTCCTTGCGGCGTTCACGCCATGAGACAGCTAGGGCCTCGGCAACATCCGGTTCTTCGAAGGTCTCGCCTGGCGTCTCGCCAAAAGGACCGACCTGGTGCTCTGCCAAAAACTGTTCAAGTTCTGTCAACTCAGGGTCCGTCTCGTCAGCCTCGAAAGACAACTCAGGGCCAGTTGCATCCTCTTCAATCAGGGCCACGCTGTTAGCATGTCGCTTGCTGACCACAAATTCAGGATACACAGACCTCATGGCCTTTCCAATGTCATCACGTTTCAACGAACCCATGGAGCGGGACAAAACGACAGCTTTTTGTTCAGCGCTCAGTCCAGAACGGTGGAGGATGAGCCATCCTCGTGCCTCCTCTGGGAATTTGACTTGTGCTTTGCGATCTGTACGATCAAAAAGTTCAGTGGCACGGGACACCCAAGTCTTGAGTGACTCTCCCTCGACAGCCTTCATCTGGAACACCTCTTGGAGGATCTCGGACATTTCGTCCGATTGATCACGCTGGGGAAAGCGCTGATCTAGCAGATCAAATAAAGCCTTCTCTCCGTTGGTCTTTTGGTAGACCGATGGGTCGAGATGCTCGACACATTCCAGAGCTTTTCCGGACAGCAGGGTGTACACGTAAGCGCCCTTGGCGTTCTCGGGCACCTTGTCACCCAACGTGAGGAGTTTGTTGGTGACCCACGTTCGCCACCTTTTATACTCCTTGGGGTCTTCAGCATCACCGCTGAAGTGCTTCAGACCTTGAGGTTCTGAAGCAGAGGAAACAGCCATGGCATCAAAGCTGGGCGCAAATCCAGCTGGATCCTACCAGCGGGAGCCCCGGTGTTTTACACCGAGGCTCCGCTACCAATGTCAAAACAACGGGGTTGGATCCTACCAACACGAAAGGGCACGCTGAAGCCTTTTCTCGCCTGAGCAAAGCGGTCCCTGCGAACGATCCGATGGCATCAAGGCAATGCATGCTGGGCGCATCAACATATATATGTAATCAAACATCCTCAGGGATCTCAGGGTGTGAAGTCTTAAAGTTTGATCGTCCTCAGATCTTCATATTACGTCAAACATGCATCGATTCTAAAGATTCACTCAGTGTGACATATTGTTTGCATCCAGCGGTCCCTGGCCTCTGTGCTATCGCTGAGCGAACTTGACCTGAGGAGATTCTCATCATTCTCCAATTACATGCAGCTCTTCCTATACTTGAAGTAAGAACCCCAATAGCTCACGCTATCTGAGGAAGGATCAACCGAACACCATCAACACCTTCGCCCTCCATACCGTCCGACCACCCACCCAGCCTCTGGCCTGCCTGGCCTGCCTGGCCCGATGGCCGTCCCCACTGCTCCACCGGCTGAGCCGCCCCACAGACCTGACCCTTCCGCAGCACACGCTCCGGCAGCTGCGCCACGAAGCGTTCCGAGGCGCTGCGCGTGTCCTGCACGCAGGTGTGCCGTCCACGGCCAGCGTGGGCTCCCGGAAGCTCACGCCAGATGCTTGGGCAAAACTAAAAAACGGATGAATGTCCAAAAAGTCTGCATAATGTTGCTGAGATCGTCAGAGTCTTTCGCTGGTTGGGTTCTTTTTGCTTAAGCAATACTTGAGCGGGTCTCTTTTTAATGCAACTTCGGTCTCTGCCTGAGGATCATGAAGCGCTTGCCCCACTGAAACTCGAAGACGTGAACCACCATCCACGAGCTCTGGGTCTTCCATGGCCTCCTGAAACGGACCAAAGCTGTCTCTCTTCTGAGAAAGAAACATCGGGAACACATTGAAACACAAACACATGCAACTGTTGTTTCATCCACTTTACCACCGATGTTCAGGCTGAAGACTTCGACGTCTCTCAACCCATACAGAAAAGCGCGGCACCACCAAACCAGGACGAACAACGAAAAACCACTTTTGCTCGGCGCCTTCAGCCACTGGCGAAAGCTCATCTTGGTGCGATCCAGCACCTTCAGGGCGACACCTTTCGGATGTTCTTCCCGCAGTTGTCGAGGAAGAAAACCCTCCAAAAGATCTCCTGAGAGGAGAGAAGTGCCGTCGAGGAGCTGTGCCACGTAAAGAGTCTGCCAGTCTGACTCAGTCTGACTCAGTCTGACTCAGTCTGGCAGTATCTGGCACTTTCCCTGCAAAAAACAGCATCTGGTCTCACAAAGGAACCACTGACTACCAGGAGAAAGGGATGATTGAAGGCACATGCTCTTCCAGATCAACTTGTGGTAGGCTAGCTGTCGAGGGTGTAAAGAAAAGTGCCCCTTCTTTTGCCAAGGATCTGATGGCATCTTGCGCAGAGCTGGACTGAAAAAGCATGAAACCATGATCTGCCAGCTTCAAGCCTCAGATACCCAAGGGAAGAAGAACCCATTCTGATCAAAGCGTCAGAGCCATCAAATCAAAACAGGAAGGTCACACTCTCTCCACCGCAGGTCACACGGATGAGGAACACAGCTAGCCCGGCTAGCTAGTAGTCGTGCACTCCCACCCACCAGGCCGCCCAACCTCCCCACCAAACCATGGAGAAATCTGTTCATTTTCGGTGGTCTGGCAGAGGGTCAACCTGTTCTGACCCACTCCCATATTCGTTTCTTTCTGCGGTTCACTCGACGAGAAACCATCTCTGAAGAAGGTCAGCGGCAGGGTCTCCATGGTGCTCAATCGAGCACACACACCACCACCTGCCTTCTCTTGCACGACCTGCGGCTGTGGCAAACAGGAAGAAATATGAAACAAGTCGAGATGTTGAATTTGTCTCATTTGAGACACCAAGGTGAAATGCCAGGCAGTCCATCCCTGCCTTTGTCTCCTGCTCCAAAGCAGAATTCAACGCCTCGATCCTGGTTTGGATTACCTGGAGCCCGAAGATCTCCGGAAGCGACGCCACTCAAAAAACGAGGACATAGGAAAAAAAACGAAGAGATAAGAACCCTCCAAGACGTAAACCTTCGGCGTTGCTCTTGGATCCTTTGACCTTTAAAACGCTTATCGTGTTCAGGATGTCTACTGAGGCTTCGTTCTTCTCACAGCACCTGAATATCAACTGCGACCCCACTTCCCGAACGAGGTCGCCAAGGCAGGCCGTAGTCCTTAGAAGTCCAAGTGGGTCACACAGTTTGAAAGTCCAGAGAGAGGTCCAAAGAGGTCCTCCAAGATGTACCAAGTACTGCTGATCTGAAAACTCTGCAGGAGATGGGAGTCTCAACAGAGACTCCGATGGCTGACTGGAAAGTCTTGAGCTTTTGGTAGAGGTTGAAGGCTTCAACTTGGCCAAGCGTCTGCCATAAACTGTTTCATCTCCTCCACTTGGCGGCTCAAACGGTCGCATTCAGCTTGAAGCAGGCTTTCGCTGTCACACCCTTGCCAAAAGCTTTCAAGAATTTGGAAGGCTTCAACAAGTGAAACATTTGACCAAGAATGGATTGAGTCCAAGGTCTTCATAGAAAGCGGCTCTCACTCACACTTATATAACTTATATATGTCTCACACCAAGCCTGGAGAGGTGTGTTGCCTGGCCCTGGCAAGCTGCTCTCGCAGCTCTTCCATCTCCAGGTTCTGTTTCTGAAGCTTGGCTGTCAGCTGCCTGTGCCCAACTTCAGATCCACATCGGTCGAATGCCATGTCTGACAGAGCAGAGAATTGCTTCACATCTGCCGAACTCGCACCACGCGCGACTTCACCAAGCCACTTGTTGGTCTGCTCCACCTGCGCCAAGCGCGACGCCATGCTGGAGACCAACGAGTTGTCTCCGGAACGAGGGCGACGTACCTGGCGCCACCGCACAAAGGTGAAGGCGATTTCCAGGGGTTTCTCGACTTCTCCCTTTGACCGGATTGATGCATGGTGGTGCTGAGAAATTGACATGCCCATGTAACATCCGTGCTGGTCATCTTTCATTGGTCTGATCCCTAATCAGTCACCTGCAGAGATCCTCGCACTTCAGACTTAATGGACCTAATGGATTTTTCTGCATGCTTCCCTGTCGCGTAGCAAATTCCAGCCCAGCTTCTTGGCGAATGAACAAGTATCACAAAACTCAACTTCAACAGCGATGTTGAAAGCTGCTTAGTGAGACATAAATGACATAAACAATCCTCAACTCCAGAAGCTGGCATTCCAGTTGAGCTCCCTAGCCTGCAAAGATCCGCGTCTCGCAAATCAAGAGGCACCATTCGGTGCCCTTGACTTCGAGACCAAAAAGGCCCAGCCGGGCCAAACTGAAAATCTGCAGTTCACACCCGGTAGGGTGCTGACGACCTACGAATCGATGCAAAGCGGCTCAAGAAACCACGGTGCGCCACTTTGGGCACAGCAGCTTGCGCCTCCAAAGAATCCGCGTAGAGCACCGGCTTCTCATTTTCGGAGCCTAGCTCCCCTAGCTCTGAGTCATCTTCCAACTCCGGAAGTGCTGGGAAGCTGCGCCGGTCGGGCACGAGTGTGCCAAAGCTTGCTCTGCTGGGGAGTGTGTCGAAACTCTTTCGATCTGGAACCAAAGTGCTGAAGCTTCCTCTGTCAGGAACCAGGGTGCGAAAGCTCGCACGATCTGGGATCAGTGTGGCGAAACTCTCGCCCCTGGGCGCCAGCTCCGCACCCCTCTCCGCCCGATTGGTGCCCTGCCCGGCGCCCAGCTCCGGTTCCTCTCTTCCGCTCAGTGCCAACAGCAAAGTCTGAGCCGAAGCAAGTGGATCGGCATGGGGGGCCGCGAAGTTCGGCTCCAAGATTTCAGTGATCTCATCTGCAGTACTAGGCGTGCAGCAGCCACATTGCACAAGTCCCATGCTGAAGAGCGACACTGCACTTCGGGACAAAGGCGGGAGCACCACAGCTTGGAGTCGCTTTGACATATTGTGCCATACACTCATGCACTTGATAGGAGTATATGTCTGTGAGTCTTGCAATGACGCAGACAGAATTTCACCTACTGCAAACTGCCTGAACAACATCTGTTCTGCTGGACAAACTGCTGTGTTTCCTCGGCTGGAGCCAGCTGCCTCTGAAGGTCCAAAGCTCATGTTGAGCTCGGCTCAAAGAGGGACACCAAAAGATTTCTAATTCATGGTATGTATGGAAACCGAGTATGTTTGAGAACGGGACAAATTCAAAACCAGAAGTTCTTCTCTCTGTCCTTTCGCTTTTGGCCTCGCCTCGCGAGTCTCACGGTTCAAGACAGCGGCACCAGCTTGTGGCAGTGGAGGCCGACTCATGCCTCACGGAGATGGCACGACTGGATGAAATGGTTCAAAAGGGGAGGTATAGCTGAAAGACATATTTAAAAAAGAACATATATCGTATCTTTGAAAAATCTAGAGGAAGTTCTTCCAAACTTGCCAATGGCATCAGAAAATGACACTCCCATGGTCTGGGCCACCCGTGCCTGGTACGCCTGTAGCCTCCCTCCGACGAGGGGGGCTCTCCTTTTCCAAAGACGGCCGGTCCTGGGGAGGCTGAGCTGTTCTTGCGGTTCCAAGTCTCACATGGCTCCCGCTGCATTGAAAACACCAAACAGAACATATAAACATACCTTACAATTCATGGAAGCTCATGTCTCATTGAAAACGCCATTATAAACATATCATGGAAGCTCATATCTCTACAGATGTTGACCCAACGTGGAGCCCCATCAAATGGTGCTTTTGTTTTCTTTCGATCGAAACGCTCCTGCAACAAGGCGGACAGAATCGAACTTTGAATGTCAGGCGTCACGTTGTCGAGGTCATCTTCGCCTGGGGCGACCCAGTGCCGACAGAGCAAAGGTCAAGGGAAAAATCCTGAAGAGGTGAACTCTTCTCGTTTTCTTTCCTCACTGTCTCCAGCCTCTAAGTGGTGCAAATGAATATATAACTTTATGATCTCATCAATACTGCTTGTACTCTGGCACTTGCAGCAGCTGGCCTAACCGGATGGGTCGGCGCAAAGGCTGCGCTACCATCGGAGGCACTATTGAGCTTTGCTGGCAACGTGTGGCACATGCTTGGGCCAGGAAATGTATACAGTGTGGACAAGACCGAGTGCATTGCGATGCACCACCTAGAAAAAGGCCTTTGGGACAATGGCTGCTAACCCGAGGTACAACTACCTATCTGCAGAGTGAATTCAGCTAGCGGCAAGTCACGCTGGGCGTCTGATCACAGTTCCGCTGCCATGCCATGTTTTGTGACGGAACTTCACAAGCACCACAACTTTCCGCTCGGATTCCCTTGAAAGGAACGCCACACAACGATTTGCTTCCTGTTTTCGGTAAGCATTGGTCGGCGCTGCTGTCGCAAGAGGAAAGACCTGGGCAAGTCTGACCCAGGCATCAAAGGAGTGCAGTTGGGGTCGCCCTCAACTTTCACCTGAAGAGATTTTTGGACTCAGCTGTCAGCTCGAAGAAGCAGCTGACAGCTACTCTGCCGTGACGAATCAGGTCGGCGGACACAGCGTTCGGCTGTGCGCTACTCTTCGGGTCGCCATGACGCTTTTCTCGAAACGTGTTGCCAAAAGCATGAGCGTCACACTAAACCATGCCCAACCATCTGATATATAATGCTCAGGACCATTCAAGACCCTTACCTCCAAGCCTGCCTTCAGTTCTTCACGGCCGAAATGCTGCGGTCACACATCTCCTGTATGGTATGCCATGGCCAAAACGCTTGAAGAGTCTTCAACACAAGCAAAAAAACGGAATGACAACCTTCCCTAAACAAAAATCCAACAGGGTCAAACAAAAAGTGTGTGTGTGTGTGTGGAATTGAATGAACGAGTTGAAAGCAGGACAACTTTGACAGCACCACCAAGGTGCATGATGCGGGCGACCCTTTTTGCCCATGCACCCCAAGAATCACTGGTCGCTGCTCGCCTCAAACTCTGCGCCAATTCACAAGAACCGGTCTTTGAGCCATCTGGCCAAGCGCAAATCGGAGATTCTTCAGCCATCTGGCCAGACAAGCGGATACTATCCGGAAAAGGGTTCTAAAGGCTACAAAAGACACACTCCACGCCTCTAGCAAGTACCTTCAAGAAGAATATGGCATTGCGAACTCAGATTGGATCTTCTCTGGCACCGCAAGCAGGCTGCTTTCAAAGGCTTTGGCAGCTCAGGAAGAGTGAAAGAATCAACGTCTACATACACTCCCTGCCAATGTCTTGAAAAATCTCATAGCTGTTCCCTGGATTGTGAGGAATCACTGCGGTCGAGTCAAACTTTCGGCAGAGCTTCTTGCGACTTTTGCGACCCGAACATCTGTGGGTGGCTTGTATTCTTTCACAGATGTCGTACGGATGCGTTACAGGAAGAAGATTGTGTTCAGCATTTCTCAAGTGCGCCTGTAAGACCTCAGAGCTTCGAATCGCTGCCTCAGGGCAACAGTCAACCAGCTCGTGGAAGGAACGCACGAGGCTCGTGCAGGAGGAATCAGAAGGCTTAGCAAGCGGCACAAAGACCTGCAATTGAAGCACAGGCACCCGGAAGTGCACGCTGCACAAGTTCTGCTTACCACACTCCAAATCCTTCAGGCCCGAGAGCCTCCGCTCAAGGCAGCGGCTGTCTAATAGAATTATGCAGCGCAACTCTCCGCCAGCATGCTCAAAGGATCTGGCAAAGGCATCAACAACATTGCTACCATAGCTCTGCCCAATCAAGAATTGCAGCTTGCCCTTCGACAGTGCTGACAACAAAATTGAGCAGCTGTGCTGACATGTGTGCTCCAGTGCATTGATCGAAAGTAGCTGGCCAGGTGAACAGAATCGTTGCATGTCAGGAAAGGTTTTGCCAGAAGTTCTTATATACCCCTCCACCGCAAGTGTGTCAATAAGATCGCGGCTCTGCAAAATCTCAGGGCAATCCAAGGCACGGCTCTGTATGGAATTAATTCTTGTTACAGATATCAGTGATGCGCTCGTGTTCAGACTGAAGGATTCATCGACGATGTGAAAGCCACACCAAGTGCGTACAGGCTACCTCCTTGTTATGAATCAGAGCTACCGTGTGTCTGTCTTATGCGCCAAGAGACAGTGCATGCAGGGTTCCAAGAAAGGAAGAGAAGTTCGAAGCGAACAGCGTCTTGTGGAAGTGTCATGTGAGGATGGTTTTGCTGGCAAAGAAAAGCCACCTTAGCACGGAACCTGCCTTGGCATAGTAGCATTTTCTCAACCGTTCCAGCTTCTATGATATTGTGTCTTCCTCCGCATTCAGAAAGCGATTTTGCCAGGCGGGCGGCTGTTGTCAGGCATCGTCGGGGTCAGCCTCTTGAAGCAGCTTCATCTTGTGAAGGTAGGTTTGGAGCAGCCTGTAAGTAGGCCAAGGCAATCTTCCTGGCGGCATTTGACAATGGGTCTGGATGCTTCTTGCTAAAAGCAACTTTACCTTAGCAATGGTACATTGCACAAACAACTCACCTTGCTCGAAACCCAAATCAGCGCAGAATTCTTTGTATTGGTTGAACGTCATAGTTGCGCAAGGAAGGGACATTGGTCAACGAATGCGTTTAGCGCATTACACACTGCCATCTGTGAGGAAAATAGTTGAGCGTGACAGTGCAGACAGCTTCATGAGATGTTCTTCAGGTAGGACTTCCTGCTATACTGGCAAGCGTCTAGCAAGAGGTCGCAAATGTCGCATCGGTATCTGTTGCGCTCCTCCCTAGCCTGTGCAATCATGCACCTTTGTAGGCGACTCCAAGACAACTTGTTCCGGTAGCGGGCACGTGATCCTGGAAGCAAATGTGCTTTTGACATTAAAAAGTCATGTTTTTCTTCGACCAGTTGACAGCATTGACCCTCTCAGGCGTGCACGCTTTGGATGAACCATCCCATTGGTTTTTTTCTGCAGTGCAAAACCACAACTATGCAGACTATGCATATTTGGTTTCGCAACGTGCGAGCATTGACAATGTGCAGGAGGCAATCGATGTATGGCAGGGAAACCAAATCCAATGCAACACGGTTGCCTGAGCAAATCCAAGGGGTTAAGCAGGGGCAAGCAGAACCGCCAAGGCGCTTTAAGGGGAGATTGGACCCAATGACTCAACAAACAGCTGGTGCCTGTCATGGGCAAACATGTTCGAAATTCTTCTTGCTTTGCTTTTGCTCTGATGGCAGTGAAGACCGTTCACTCACCAAGTGACAAAAAAAGAATGGCAACATGAGGCAACCACTCTGCCATTCTGCTGAAAGGGGCTTCAGCCACAAAGGGCTTGGTGTCAAAACACTGCCACACTCGGACCAACAAGCAGAAGCCTCGGGCAAAAGCCTCATAGCAGCCGGTGTGAAGGACCACATGCTTGTGGAGTGTGAAATGGTGTGAAGGACCTCAGGTCAGCAATGAACCTATGTGAGATGTAGCTGATAGCTCAAGGTGCGCTGGGATTCTCTAGGTCTGATGGGATCTCTTCACTTAACCTTGCTGAGAGTTGGAGAACAGTCGCATGGCATGGTTCCTGTCCAGGTCAAACCTGTATTTTGAAGGCCTAACCTTTCCAGAAACTTGCACAATGATTCTCTGAGCGCTTCCAACTCGAAGGATTGGCCAGGGACATTGGAGCTTGCCCTCCAAGAACTTTATATCACAATGGCCAAAAAGAAATGCCAATCATGGAAACCTAGGCAACATTCTCCTGAATTCACTCGAGTCATTGTATCTTTGATGGGTTCATGGGAGGACTGACTCGCCAGCGCTTGCAGCTCCTCCGCCCGCGGCAATGGTGCTGTGACCAATCGTGCGATCAAGTTCCAACGCAAATGCGCATCAACTGTCGAATCGGAATGGATATACACGAAGCAAAGCTGCATGTTGGTGTGCAAGAGCTACAGCAGTTGCAGCTACAAGACAGCACTTTGTACTCATCCAAACATGTGGCTTCTGTGGGCGTTCACCTCCACAGCGTGAACTTGGATTGGACAACAAATGGCCTGAGAAGTTGAAGCTTGCAGCATGGGCACACACATATACACACCGCAGAACCACTCGCAACCCCACAAGAAAGTGTGGGACTATATAATGACTACATAATCTTGGCATCACTTTCCAATCAGCTGCTCCGAATAGCATGTCCAAGGGTACATCAGTAAGCCGAGAGAAAGCCCCCTGCACTCAAGCCTGGCCCATGGTGAATCCATGCCTGTCGGACTGTTTCTTTTAAGAGCTAGCTCGACACGACCTTACCTTGACAATTGACCTCACCCTCGCCGTAGATTTAGGACAACTCTGCTGCCACATTTACGGCCATACATGGTGAGTGGGGCATGCCGTTCAGTAGGACTGATGTTGCTGCACTTGCATGTATATGCAACTGAAACGGCTACCTGACGATCACATAGGCAAATCAAGAAGCTCTGGCTTCGGGCTGATGGACAGTATTCTATATACCTACTGCAAAGTGATTATTTGGGCATCTGTCAATCTTGATGAAATATCGACCATGTCTAATTGCACAGCTTTGGAAATTCTTGTAGGTCAGACAGCTCAGCTCAGGGAGTCAAAATGTGTTTTCTTGTTGCTTTTTATATATGTAGCCTGTGGTCCGGGCGATGTGTCCAAAACAACATCGAAACTTCCTGACAGCTAGGATCGATTGAATACTTAGTGTCTGCATGTGTCTGCATTTATGCTCAGTGCGTCTAGCAAACCATCTGAGAGGCTGGAATCCTGAATTTTTGGAGCTGACGGCAACCCAGATTAATGCGGTTTACCTGCTACACAGCGACGCCTATGTCTCTGCAAGAGATACGGGTGCAACAACTGAACGACTATCGAGTTCAACAAGAATTCCCCGCCCACTCATTCAGTCCAGAAGGAAGTTTCGGTGAAGCATTCTGACAGCCCCCTCGTCCCGAAATCCTTGCAAGCCACGTAAACAGCCTCCGCAAGCTGCACCAGCCTCTCAAAGCTCCAAGTTCCGTGCACTAAACTTCGACCGGCAAGCTGCTTGGCTTGTTTGAATCAAGCTCGCCACTTTGGACACGGAACTCTTGCGAAAATGGGCGCTTGCTAGTGCGCACCAACTGTGGAAGGCTTGCACATGGTACCTGGATAGAAAAACTCCGGAGTAAGAAGAATGCCCACTGCGAACTGTCAAAGGGCAACACAAACTGCTGCCAGCAGCTCTAAATGTGTGATCAGTCAGCAAAATTGTTGGTGGGTCGGTTTTCAAGAAGAACAAATTGAACAAATGAGTAGCGCCTTTTGTTTTTCTTCATTTGACTAGTCGCAAGAACGTTCGCCCAAGCTTCGGGCCCGCTTGCACAGTGTGCACGGCAGCTTCTGCAAAAGGATTTGGGCAACATGAACTTCCGCCAGCTTTCACAACAAGACATCGAGAGATATGTTTTGGCTGTGCTTTCACGACCACTGGCTTTGCTTCCGTCGAAGCCTGTTCTAGAATGGTCTCATCACACAGAGATGTTTGTAACATGAACTGCCATGGGCTTTCGCAAATCCAAAACGAACAGATTTCCTGTGAGATTCCACCACCTGGACCAGGACCCCTTTCATCAGCTCACTCCCATTCCTTTGTTTGGCAATGCAGCGAGAGGATCACTGAAGAACCAATCGGAGCACAACACTGTCCAAATAAATCACGCTGCATGCTCGAGAACACACATATGTTCCCACCACTACGGTCAAGTTTGTACTCTCTAGTGTTGCAGCGCCGGTTTGAACGGTAGTACTCAGAAGACAAAGCTAGAAAC